GGACACAGGGACACGCAGGCCGGTGTCTCACCGAGGTGCAGACTCACTCTGTATCAGACACCCAGTCTAACGGACACAGGGACACAGGGACACACAGGCCGGTGTCTCAGCGAGGTGCAGACTCACTCTGTATCAGACACCCAGTCTCACGGACACAGGGACACGCAGGCCGGTGTCTCAGTGAGGTGCAGACTCACTCTGTATCAGACACCCAGTCTAACGGACACAGGGACACACAGGAGACAGTGTCTCACCGAGGTGTAGGCGCGGTTGCACATGCCGCAGGAGTAGACCTTGGCGTGCTTGACGGTGTGGGTGCTCAGGTGCACCTCCAGGCTGGCCGAGTCGGTGTAGGCGCGGTGGCAGTTGTGACACTTGTAGGGCTTGTCCTTGTTGTGCTGCCGGCGGTGAGACTGCCAGAGGAGGGGAGCAGAGAGGCACACATCAGCGCTCGTGGAAGACCACACACGCAGTCGGGTTTGCTCTCACGAGCGATTCACTATTTTAAGGTGTCGGACTGCTTTATTCAGATCTGCATTTCTGTAATGTCTTATCTTCTAGTATAAGACTTAAACAGCTTACTGAGCACTGAGCTGTACTTTATCATACTATATACTAAAAAAGTTCTGTAGCTTTCTGTTTATATTCTTCAAAAGGACTGTAATACATTCTATATTTTATTATATTGTATTCAGTTCTATATTAATATTAGTAAAAGTGTAATGTGTTACTCAGAACACTGTACATATACTGTACAGTATTACTCAGTATGGTATTATACTTCACACAATAATCTATTATTCAGGATGGTATATTTCACACACTGTACAGCATGTCTCACTGGTATTATACTTCACACACTGTGTCGTATTATTCAGTATGCATTATACTTCACACACTGTACAGTAGTATTCAGTATGGGATTATACTTCACACAATGCAGTGTATTATTCCATATGATATTATACATAACATACTGCCCTGTATCATTCAGTATGGTATGGGTCTTCACACACTGTACAGTAGTATTCAGTAGTATTTTACACACTGTACTATATTCTTTCAGGATAGCATTATACTTCACAAACTGTACTATATTATTCAGAAGCATATGAGTCTTCACACACTGTACTGTTGTATTCAGTATGGGATTATGCGTCACACACTGTACTGTATTATTCAGGATGCTTTGAGTTTTCACATACTGCATAGTACTATTTAGGTTCTTTCACTGTACCTGCAGATTGGAAAGCTGGGTGAAGGCCTTCTCACAGCCAGGGTGAGCACACTTATAGGGCCGGTCGCCAGTGTGAATCCTAGAGAGCGAAAGAGAGACAGATTAAGACTGCAGCTCCCATCACCTCTTTCGTCTGCACTGCATCCGCAACACCTGACTCCCAGCCCCAGGGAAACCCCCGGATATGTAGTTCACCAACTGTGGAATACAAATTATGATGAAGGAAAATCCGGCAGATATCCATCAGAAAGCTCAGAAGAGCAGATGCTGGAGATTCTGCAGAGGACCACAGGGAAGCTGGTTACTTTTTTGCAAAATGTCTTCACAAAGGAAAATAGAGAACAAAGAAACAATCAAAAGAGATGGGTGGAGAGAGAAAGGGGAGGAGGGAAAGGGGTGTCATCAAAGGATAGCTGTTTCGGTGTATGGTAATCAATGTAGAGTGCGGTCTGGACATAAACCACAGTCTCCCAGGATCTTTCTCATCTTATTATAAAACTACTGCCAGCACCCACCTGCCCCAGAGCATCATGGGCAATGTAGTCCCCTGCATAGTTCAGAGAGCAGAATGATGACGGAGGGGAAGGAAGGAGGAAACACCTGAGCAAGAGAGATGCGCGTAGAAGAAGGCGGGATTGTGTGTGGCTGACTGACCTGAGCATTTTGGCGCCCTTTGGACCGGGGGTGGGGGGGGAACAAACTACAATTCCCATGACCCCGTTTGCCAGAGCGCACCTCCCCCAAAGGACCATGGGAAGCACAGTCTTGTGAAAAGAGAGAGAAAAGCAAGCAAAGACGCAGAGAAGCAGGGAGGGAAAGGGAGTGGGGTGGGGTGGGGTGGGGGGTGGTAGGTGTGTGCACAATAAATTGGGGGTTACCTGTTGTGCTGCTGTAAGTGGCTGAGCTGTCTGAATGTTTTCTGGCAGTAGGAGCAGGTGTAGGGCTTGGCCCCACTGTGGATGCGGATGTGCTGGGCCAGGTAGCTGGAGTTGGCGAAGGATTTGGAGCAGTGCGGGCACTTGTGGGGCTTGGCTTCTGTGTGCGACTTGGCGTGGATCTGCATGTCCGATTTGGAGAAAAACGTCACGGCGCACATCCGGCACCTGAAAGAGAGGGCCGGGGACAGGAATTGGGGGTTAACGGGAGACCGACATGGACACAAACCCTGACTGTTACCACCGGTGGGAGAGAAAGACATGGAAAGTGTGCCCCTTATAAATCCCCGGTTCACATCACACAAGCCAGTTTACTCCACCGCAACATCGGCTGAACCAGAAACCTGAGCACGCCACAGCTGAGCCCGCGCCCCCGCTCTCTTCCCTCGGGGCTCCAGGAAGAGCTGGCGGTGTAGACACAGGCTAGAGGGAGGTGCGATTGTGGGAGGCAAGGCAGGAGCCTACTGCTTCTGAACTAGAAGATCGCTGCGCTTTACAGAAGCCAACGCTGTTCAAAGACACGACCGCGCTGGGAGAATCTGTCGAGGCCTTAAAGAGACCGCCGCACTGCCTACTAAGGGCCGCGTGGGTCACAGCCTCTGAAAGGAAGACAGTACCCCATCTCCTCTCGTCAATACGAGTGCAGAGTGCCCCGTCGACACAGCCACACTAGATCTCACGACGGAAGCAAGGAGGCAGACCGGCCATGTGCGCGCGCTCGCTCACTCACAGCCCCACACACGCTGGCTACTGGGCACCCAAGGGTGCCCGCGCCCGGAACCGAGTCAGAGACGAAGACGAATCGGATTTCCCCCACCCCGAGCTCCCGCCTCGGGCGTCCCAGGGACGGGCCGTTCCCAGCGGGAAGAGATCGCCCCGCTCCGCCATCACCCTCGGCTCTCCGAGCGAAGGAGCGCCGCCCGCCCTCCTATTCCCCGTTCCCAACGCGACGCAGCTTCGTCCTCGCGTGCTGCCCCGCGTTTCCCCGGCAGATCCGGGTGATTTCAGCTTAACGTTCGGCCGAATCCCTTTCAGGACTGAGGCGACCTGAATCCAATCCCCACAGGACTAATGATTAGTGGCCACCAGACAGCCTTCCTGCCCGACGAGCGACGTGTGTGTCTACTCAAGGAGCCTTTCAGCTGTAAGTCTAGACTAGGGGAGACAGCGTGTGGGCTGTCGGAGTCAAATACAGAGATCGACACAGAGTAAACTGGCCTGAGAGAGAGACAGGGGGCGAGTCAGGCGGGGGGGGTGGAGGGAGAGGGGGAAGAGAAACTGTGATGGAAGGGAGGACAGATGTACAGAGAGAGATTGGCAAATTTTCCCATTTCTGCGTTACACCCCTTTCTCTCTGTGGCAGGGTGCTCGCCGGCTGTCGTGTCGCTGTGAATGATCGCAGGAGGATGAGCGCAGAGGGGAGAGGGGAACAGCCTGCTTGTGGAGCTGTGAGTGACTGGGCTGGTTGACGTGGTGGTGGCAGAGGTTGCAGGTACAAGAAGTAGGAGGAGAGGAAGGAAACGACAATTCCCATGATCCTTTTTGCCAGATCCCCTCCATGTGCCGCGCCACGGGACTGTGGGCAATGTCGTGGACCCGCGGGCAGAAAGAAAGAGGCTGAGCAAAAGGCAGGGAGGAGGCAGACGCACAGTCATTAGGTGTGGCGGGACTGTGCTTTCTGAAGGAGCAGGAGCCATGAGAGGCCCAGAGCGTGCTTGCGTGACCCATAATGCTTTTCAACAATGAGGTCATCGCTTCCCATGGCTCACCTGCCTCGGGGGTTATCAGCAGCCCGGCAGACATCCCAAAAACCAGAGAAAGAGAGAAGACAGGGACAGCTAGACAGGCGTCAGAGAGGAGTACAAAGTACCGTGTGTGCTGCTGTAAGTGGCTGAGCTGTCTGAATGTTTTCTGGCAGTAGGAGCAGGTGTAGGGCTTGGCCCCACTGTGGATGCGGATGTGCTGGGCCAGGTAGCTGGAGTTGGCGAAGGATTTGGAGCAGTGCGGGCACTTGTGGGGCTTGGCTTCTGTGTGCGACTTGGCGTGGATCTGCATGTCCGATTTGGAGAAAAACGTCACGGCGCACATCCGGCACCTGAAAGAGAGGGCCGAGGACAGGAATTGGGGATTAACGGGACACCGACATGGACACAAACCCTGACTGTTACCACCGGTGGGAGAGAAAGACATGGAAAGTGTGCCCCTTAGCACGCCTGACAGCATTTCTTCTCCAACTACAGAATATCTTCAGATTATACTGTTACAAACCGGGGGTTAAGAAACTAGAGAGCATCAGAAATAGATGAGAGGATAAATCAGTCATGTATAAATCACTAGTCACAACCCCCTGCTTGTAGATGATTTTTGCCAACTATGCTTGTGTGGTTGGTATAATTGGAGGGACGGGAGTTCTGTGCTACTGGGCACAGCTTTGGTGAAAAGAGTAATAATTCAGGCACATTAGGTTAAACAAATATTTATTGACAATGGCAATACAAACACTAAACATCAACATACAATACGCAAGATACACTTTGTAAAAATTCCTTAATAAGGCATTTCAGAGATCTATGTCCTAACCACCCAGAAAACTCCAGACTGCTAGCAAGTATTCGACACCTATATCACCTAAACGGAATACGACCATCTGTTAAATCTCTCTCTCCCTCCGCAAAATCCAGATGCTACAAAATGAGAGGGAACCTATCTCCCTATTCTAAAAATACACCCACTAATAAGGAGAGGTCGTTTTTTAACTGGGGGGTTCTCTGTACAAGGATTCAAAGTTTCTGACAATAGCAGAATAGAAAACTCTTTTAACAAGGTTCAAATATCTAACTCGAACCTCGAACCTTTAACCTGGAGGTCTCGCCTTCTGTCCTCCTGTCTCATCCTGTGTCTTCCTCCTTTCCTGTCCGTATGTGCTGTTTTTATGCCGTGTTCCTCGTCTCTCCATTGACACTTAATCAATTACCCAGAACTTAATTAACTCAGGCAAACCGAAGTAAACAAGTTTGCTTTGATCGCTGCATCTCGCACCCCTCCATCTCGGCAGACAGCTCCTGGTTTTGAAGCTCCCGGGAACTGGATTCGTTGAGAATAGCCAGGTGTTACCCGCTGTATCGGGATTCTTCAAGACACTTCATCAGTCACTTACAACAGTTGTAACGGCATCACAAAAAGACCCCAAACCATCCTTCAAAACTGCGAAGTTCGAGTGCGACTGCGAGTGACACGGCCGGGGTCCGATGTCATAACTTGTTTGTTCCCCTACCATCTGGCAGAAGGTTCCGGTCACTCCAGTCGCACACAACTAGACTCCAAAATAGCTTCTTCCCCAGAGCTGTCAAGTTGGTGACGCCCCCACTCCCTCCCATCATATTATGATCTCTCCGAATGTCTTCCTGTACCCACAATGACTGTACTCCTACACCACTACACACACATGTAAGCCCAAATAGTACTGCCCCCTCGATAGCCCAGTAAAACTGTACTCGTCGTAATATTTTATAATTAACCATACTATTTTTAACCACACTATTTTTGCACTGTTCCAAGAATTACCTTGCACTGTTTTTGTCCTGTTATATTTTCTCTGTTTGCGGAATTTTTCACAATTTTGATTACTTGATTACATGTTATTTATGTTATGTTATTACATGTTACTGTTATTGCTATTGTGTAACTGTCTATTGTCTTATCTTCTGTCCTATTAATATACTGCACCTGAGTGACTAATGAGAAACACTTTTCATTATACTATGCACCTGTGTAAGTTTAATGACAATAAAGTTGAATTGAACTGAATGTCCGCTGGGCTCAGAAATCTGAGGCCGGCGACTGGTCCAGTCTGGGACGGGTCATCCAGCGACCGCAGCCCTGAACCTCCGAGGGCCGGCTGGGTCAGAACCCTGCCTGACCAGAGAGCGAGAGGAAACGAGCTTCCCTCTGACCGGTCAGGACAGTCCCCTCCTGGCGCTCTGAGGCAAGGCTCAGGGAGGGAGGCTAGTTAAGGTAGCTTTTCCGCCAGAGTGCTCGAGGCCGTACCTGACGATTCCAGGAAAAGCGGGAAGAAATGGGAGTTATCCTCCCCCCCCCTCTCCCACCCGCCGAAACAGCTCCCACGATGCTGTCTGGCTTTGGAAACGCACGGAGCCCTAGTGGTGGAGTTTCAGACTTGTTAGAAGGTCACTCCCAGCCCGAATGACGTCCCGGGTCCGCTCCCAGCCCGACCCAACCGGACAGAACCCGTCCGCGCTAGCAAAGCCACGACCTTGGGTGAGAGGACTCGCAGTCACTGGGAGAGCGACGGCACTGTTGCTGATTCCCATAGGGAGCGCTGCAGTGTGCATGCCAGTGCATGGAGCAAGCTAAACACTATTAATATGGGTCTTTGTTTAGACTGTATCACAATCGAGCAACGCAAGGAAAAACAAAGCGTACGTGTTGAGTTACACGTGTACACGCGTGTGCCGCCCTACCTCTTTTCACAAATGGAATTTGTTCCCAGAAGCCCTTTCCTACAGCAACATTTAAAAAAAAAAGTAAATAGCAAAACTGCTACTTCCAATATTTCTTATGGGGAAAAATGACGATCCATTCCGGACCCGGAAAATGTCGCTCCTACTTTTACTTTTTTCAGTGAAAAAAAAGAGACAAAAGAAACAACGACTAGCATTCCTACTGTAGTTTGCGATTTCAGGAATAAAATCCTTTGCTTTTTGTGTGATCACACATGTACACAATGTTTAATTTTCTTAACACCTTTAGTGTCCACAATCGAGTCTAAACCTCAGATATTCTCTGGAAAGTAAGAGCGCTCCCGAAGCGAGATGCGGCGAGCTGGATCAGGCCTTCCGCAGGCCCTGTGCAGCCTCTCGCCAGACTGGTAAGCGGGACGTGCCGCCAACACTCGAAACGAGCCTTCCCCTTCTCTCCCGCCACTTGGCGGGGGCTTCGAAATTTCTCTTTGTCTATCGCTTCTTCGGAGTTTCGGAATTGGCTTGCGTTATTCGACATGCTTCATCGTATGTCGAACAAAGAGCATACGTATAAAGAGCTACGGATGTGTTTCGAATGTATTACGCTCAAGGTCGTGTGCTAATATTGCTCAGAAGGAAGACAGGAATCCCGCATGCACACACGCGCACGCAGGCAGCTCCATCGCCTCCGGGCACCGGACAGGAGCGCATCCCTCGCTGGCATCGCTGCCAGCGGCCTGGACGTTTCGGGAGATCCTGCCCTCCTGTCCCAGGGCCACACGACGGCCGCGGAGCGAAGCCCTTTGCCCACGCCCTGCCCAGAGAGGTCGAGCTGCATTTCTAATATCTGGTCTGTCTCCCTCCTGCTCTGAACCACGAGCCACGCAGTGCTGTGCTTTCGTCACGAGTCAAAGACCAGTCAGGTCAGCTGCAGGTGTGGCCCTGGGCCACCAACGCGTTCCACTGACCATCGCAGCCGTGTCGTGGAAGCAGACACCCCGGTCTCTTTCATGAGCCAGCTGGAGCGAGATCCTGGGAATCCCTTAACTACTGCAGGAACAACCAAACGGGCCGGATTGGCCCTCCTCTCGTTTGGTACTGTTTTCCGTTGCTAAGGGGTGAGTTTTTCCGAAACAGTCCCACCGCAAAGAGGCCCGTTTTGCACACTCCTCAAGAGCACTTCCAGCCTCTGCTGTCCCATGTGGTGGTCCTCATGGACGCAGGGGAGGCAGGCGGCACTGAATAAGGAGTCAGAGCGTGAATCGGTACACTTGAACAGCCCGCCTGCTGGTTCTGCCAATCTAATTTGTGCTTTAAATTTTATTTCACAATCACTCGATTAGGTAACCGTTACAATTATCAGAAGCGCTTAAGATAAACACCTATGTTCCACGGTCTGATGGTACAACATCACTTGCACTTATAAAGTGACATTCACATTCACGACAGGGGTCACTAGAAAATTTCTAAATTACCACCCATGCATAAAAACAGCAACAAAGCCGAGTAATTACAGATCGTCTTTTCAATGATCTATAGGGTTAGTCACACAATAATTAGAACTAAAACAGAGTATTCTCTGTGTTTTAACAGGATTTTAGCTTGCATTTAGAAAAGGTACATTTTGCATACTTAACTTGATTAACTTCTTTTAACAAGTAAAACACAGTAATAAGACAAATTAAAGCATAAGATATATTATAGTCATGTAGGTCGCAGATGATGCCAATATAGGTGGAATAGCAAAGTTTAAACACGTTGATAAGGAAATTCCAAGATTTAAACTAAATTCAAGATTCTGACCCCTGGCAGATGGTGCTTAATGGTTAATGTTGCATGTGGCAGAAACACAAACTACAGACTTAAGATGGGAAACACTGAGCCTCAAGAAGCTATTGATTACAAAGACTTAAGTATCGCTTTCTAAGAGACAATCTTGGCAAGCAATAAGGAAGGAACACAACGTTAAGGCACGAAGGTACACATCTAGAATTTAAATTAAAGAATGTTTTTTTGTAAATCGTACAAAGCAGGGCCTCATTCAGAGCATTATGCTCGACTTTGCTGCTGTGAAAACAGTCCACAGAAGAAGGTCCTACTTCTGACAGGCTGAAAGAAACACATCTGTTTCAGTCCTTCAGTGAGGGGACCCCCATGAAGCATCAAAGGCACTCACAAAGCCAAACCAGCAGACTTCTTCGGTATTGACAGTGGAACACGAGCCAAAGGGCGCAGGTGGAAACTACGGGGGGGGTGCAACTAAAACCAAGAGCAAGAGGCACTTCTGTACGCAAAGGGTGGTGGGAGTAGGAAACTAGCTGCTCAGCCATGTTGTTAAAGTCAATACCTTGGCTTCCTCCAAGAAAGAGCTGGGTGAAAGCCTTGGATCAATGAGCTACTATCAAATGAACTACATGCGCCTGGAGTTTTACTGACTGATTATCTAACCTACAGATCAGTCCTCTGAGCACTAGACGGCAGTATAGCCTCTTCCAAAGCCACTAATTTCAATGAGTCATTTAAGTAGTACACTTTACACACATAAGCATGTAGAATAACTTGGGCTCCATTGGGATACAGACTCTTGATCAGGCATCTGTGTTATTCAAAGCAGCGCAGACTGTGGCAGTAAATTAGAATGATCATCAGAAATGGATAGAATGTGTCGACAATAGTTCTGCTTTGTCTAAAGGGTTGAGCAATAAAGAAATCAGGAACTTAGAGCTGTGGAAAATTGTGTAAAAACAAGAAAAAGAAATAAGAAAAGGCAGGTAAAGGCAGAGAGCAGCTAAAAGTCACTTTCAGCTCTGTGAAAGAAAGACACCAGTGTGTTACTCTAAAACTAATCATTTCTCATGGGGAAAACAAATGAGTGACAAGTACAACTCCAAAGTAATTTCTTTTCAGTTCTTCACTCTTGACTCAATTAAAACAAACAATAGTGTTGAGCCTCTGTACTTGGAAGGAGCAAAAGGACCGGGACACTGGCTGACAGATGTCTCCTGCTGCTGAGGGGTTAGCTGTTGGGCAATTAGGCTCAAGGAAGAGCTGTGAACACGCAGTCCACATGTCTCCCTCGGACTCCGAAGCTCAAGGCTGTAGTCTAAAAAGTCAATTTTCATAACGAAAGACTTTTGTGAAAGAGAACCCCTGGTCCAGTGACTCCAGGGGCCTGTAACCCCGGTCCAGTGACTCTAGGGGCCTGTAACCCCGGTCCAGTGACTCCAGGGGGTCTGTAACCCCGGTCCAGTGACTCCAGGGGGTCTGTAACCCCGGTCCAGTTACTCCAGGGGTCTGTAACCCTGGTCCAGTGACTCCAGGGGTCTGTAACCCTGGTCCAGTGACTCCAGGGGTCTGTAACCCCGCTCCAGTGACTCCAGGGGCCAGTAACCCTGGTCCAGTTACTCTAGGGGCCAGTAACCCCGGTCCAGTGACTCCAGGGGGTCTGTAACTCTGGTCCCGGAGAGCCTCAGTCCGTCAGGGTTTGTAACTAATCTTTAAATTATCAGTTTCTAAGATAAGATCACTTTATTGGCCATATACAATTTCTTGCATTCGGAATTTGTCTTTGCGCAAACCCCAGCTTGCTCTCCAGGAGACACACAGGCACACAGACAGGGAGAGAAGCTGGGGGTCAGAGCGCAGGGTCTGCCATTTATACGTCGCCCCTGGAGCAGCTGGGGTGAAGGGCCTTGCTCAGGGGCCCAACAGAGTAGGATTCCTCAGCTGTCGCAGGATTTGAACTGGCAACCTTCCAGCCACAGACACAGATCCTGAGACACAGAGCCACAGCTCCGCCCCTAAAGGTCTGGAGCTTTACATTAAGTAACTTAAACGTCACAGGAAACCTAAAGGACCAGTGTTCCCCTCACTGAAGCGTTACTTGCCCAACTGAACAACTGCTTAAACAAGTGTCCCTCGACTTTAAATAACAGATGATTTAGGGTGACCTAGAAGAATATCTGGATCGGGGCTCTCCAGGGCCAGCACTGGAGACCCCTGGCCTCGGGTCGGCACCTGAACTCGAGGTTAGGAGCCCAGAAAATGATTCGATCACAAGAAACTCCAGATCCTAGCCACCGCCGGCAACCACAACAGAATCCAGGGCTTGGAAAAGCCCGACTGAGATATACTAGCTACGTGAGCCAACAGAAGAGCTACAGAGGCTTAACGGCCTCTTCTCACCAACTTATGGTCTGATGTTTCGATCTCAGGGAGGCAATTCCTTCAGACCGAGAGAGGGCGCAGGACTGCCGCAGCTGGTCAATACGGCACGGAGCATCAATAAGCACACGTTTCTGTCTGCACTTCTGTCCTTGGGAATAACCCAAGATCACACCGGTAGGAGTTCTCCCGCCACCTCCTAGTAAACCCACCCACTGGCAAATCGCCGTTTAAGAGCCCATATGGGTCCCTGCTTGGGCTATAATGGGAACCAGCCGATGATCCCGCAGTTCACAGAGAGGCTCGAGGCCTCGAGGGAGTCCGGCACGCGATCCGAGCGAATCTCGGGGCAGCGGCCCAGCGGCAGAAGCCCCCCCCCCTTCTTTATCCGGGACGGCGTGTTTGGCACTGGACGCGACACCTCCCGACCCCGGCTACCACCCCCCGGGAGTTGGCTCTGCACTTTTCCAGGACCTTGTAAGGGCCGAGCGTCGTCAGCTATCGCGTACACCTCCCACGGTCACCGGGGGGGCAGCGGACCTCCTCGGCGTTCCCCGTCTCCTTGCTTGCGCCCGCTTCGACGAGACGCCGACGTCCCATTTACCAGTCTGGCAGTGCCAGTGGAGGGTCCAGTCCAGCCTGCAATACTTGGTGCGTGGGCGAGGGAGGGGGTCCGGAAGAACAAACATGGATCCCTGCCGGCAGCGCGGGTGCCCTTGATTGAGCAGGTCTTTCCAGTCTGGCTACCCGTCCCGGCACTGGGAGACGTCCGCAGATCGGCCAATGAGAGGTGTGGGTGTGGGTCCTGTCACGCTCAGACCGGGTCCGAGTCACGTCCAGCCGCGGCTAGGGGCAACCCCAACATTCGCACGCGGTGTCTCAGACATCGCCTCACTCCGCGCGGACTAGGTCAGGACGCCTGTCCATCAGACCAGCGGATGTCCACTCTGACAGCCCGTCGAGGGCCCGAGCGGCTTCACGAGCTTCGCTCCGCCGCGTCAGCGCTCCGTCGCCGAGCTTCGCAGGGTCTGATCGCTCAGATCCTCCGTACAACTATTGCCTTAAAAGAGATGCTGTCGTCATCATCGGAGCTTCTATCGCCAGAGCTCCGTCACAGCGGAGTGTTTTTCAGCTCACTTGCGGTTACTGCCGGCTGTAAACGTTTTTTTTTGCCCAGTGGTGATATTTTCGGCTCCTCAACCGGTCCTTCTTTTTTCCCCCGGCCAGGAGCTGCCTCCTTATTTCCTCTCAAGCGTCTTTTGGGGGTTACTTGTTTCCCTTCAGATCCCTGGCTGTAGTTCTGCAGCTTATGCTGTACCCAACCTCCTCACTGGTACGTCACGACACTGGCAGGTTAATGGGCTTCTGGGAAAACTGGCCCTGACGTGAGTGTGTCTGTGTTGTCTATGTGCCTGTTGCTTGCTGGGATTGGCTGTGGCTCCCCCGCAACTCTGAGCTGGATACAGCGGCTTGAAAACAGGTAGATGGATTCAAGGCAGGGATAACCTTATCAAAAACAGCCCGAGTGCCATACATGGGAATATTCTGTAAAGTACACGTACGCTGTATACAGTGGTCACTTCTAAACGTTCATTCGTGGTAATAACAGAAAGTGACCAGAGCTGTACTCGCAATACAAAAGCTTCTCGACAAACTGCTTGGGTTTGGAGCACTAGGAGGGAAAAGCCTTATGTGTCTTCCTGGGTGTCATCTCAGGAAAACGAATCGAAGCTCATTTCAGGCCTTCGCTGAGCTGCGAAGTCCTCGCTTCCTCTATACGTACTGACAGGCGAGGGAGTAATCAGAGCCCGGCCCTTACCGGACATCCCGGAATTCGACCCTCATGATCCCGATCTAATTCCAGGTGTGCGGAGTCGGCGGCGGCTCACCTGTAGGACTTGTTGCCGTCCTTCGTCCCGTGTTCGTCCTCGTCGTTCGAGAGGTCGTAGGGGTCGGCCGTGTGGTGCTGTGGGCAAAGGACAGAGGTCAGGCGGACGGGAGCATCCGGCGGGAAACGACCGTGGACGCAGACCGACGCGTTAAACCCATGCTCGCTGGTCGCGGGGGCTCAGGCTATTCTCATTGGAAGGGGGGGCGATGGCGAACTCTTCTACGGCCATGGCGAGACAGGGAAGGCGCTTCGGACTTTGTAGGTGGTTTTGAAACCCCGGCCGCAGCCGGAACAGCCTTCTCAGCACAGACGGCAGGCGAGAAACGTGAGAACCGAGCGTTCCTCAGGGCCTTTGCCAGCCTAAATGATGAACCGCCATGTTATAAATCATAATAAACAATAACTCCTTACACTTCTATAGCGCTTTTCTGGACACTCCACTCAAAGCTCTTTACAGGTGATGGGGATCCCCTCCACCACCCCCAGTGTGCAGCCCCACCTGGATGATGCTCCAGTCCTCTCCCCACACACCAGCTCTCAGTGGGGAGGAGAGCAGAGGGATGAAGCCAGTTCAGAGATGGGGATTATTAGGAGGCCACGACTGGTAAAGGCCAGGGGGGAATTTATCCAGGACCACAGAGAGTCAGGACCTTGGTTCAACGTCTCATTCAAAGGACAGCGCCTTTTAACAGTGTAGTGTCCCCATCAGCACAACAGCTGGCCAGTCTGGTTTCTTGTACACGAAAAAGCCAGGTCGAGCTGAATTCTGCAGACGCAATAAAATCGCTAACAGAGCGCTGTGGTCTACCACAGGCAGTGTGGAATTCCAGTCCAGGGAGGTGGAGCTCCGGATTTGCAGTGCTAAATGAAAGTCTTCGTTTTTTTACTACTGGGCTCAGTTTTGGTCACCCCAGGGCAAAAAGGGATATCATTGCCTTAGAAAGAGTTCAAAGGAGGACAACAAGCGCGACACCTGGTTTCTGTGATTTTTCACTGTACTAAATTTGTTTCCTCTAGAACAAAAATGTAGAGAAGGGGTATAGATAGGGTTAGGACAGGGGACTATTCATATGAAATATAAACAACACCTATGGTAAGTATTGACTTAACACTAGAAAGCACCACTGATATTCCTGAATTTCATAATAATGTAGTATTTATTTTCACTTTGTTTTATTATTTGTGCATTTCTCTGCTATTATTCAAATATTTCCGAATTTACAGACATAATTCCTCTTTTGCACATTTTGTCAAAAAGTCTTAAAGCGAAGTCTGTTAAACGACGGTTTACTGTAATTCATGCACAGAGCCAATATCAGTTTTGAATGAAGCACAAAATTGTAAACTTTGTGAAAGTACTGTAAGTCGCAAACTACTGGTCTCACTATGGGCAAGAGCAAGAGTTTGTGAGAATCGAACATGAAGAAGCCCTTCCTGCTCACTAGTCCCTGTAATGAATGATGTAATGGGATGGACGAGCGAATTAGTACAGGTTGTGCAGCAGATACTTCACCGCAGAAATGCTCCAGCGTGATCTGCAGAGTTAACAAGTAAGTAGTATTTGTCTGAACCGCCCCGAAGTCAAAAGGAATATTTCTACTGGATTAAAAGAGTTGGATTCACAAGCCTGCTTGTTAAAGTGTAATAGAGCAGCTTCACCTCAATGGAAGTTTTGTTGCCTCGTTCTAAATTGTTGAGTTGGAAGTTTTACAAGTTACTACGTGACTTTTACTTTCATTGTTGTCTGAAATGCACTCATCAGTGCTGATTCTTTCTAACCCCCGAAATATGAAAATTGTGAGGAAGTTCCCTTTTAACCATTCTGGGACGGTTTGGGCTGCTTCTGTTCACTGAATAAACTCTCTCGGATCTGAGTGGACAGGTGTTCATTAAGAGAAGCCTTTCTGATTGCCCTGCTCAGAGGAGAGAGATCAGCTCCATAAGACAAACGGCAGTCAATTAGAACTGACCCTGCCACATAGGCAGAGAAGAGGACCGATACTAAATGACTCATTTTTCATTTCGTCTCACAGGCAAAAAATAGGACAAACACATTTTCACTCCCAAAACGCAAAATGTCACGTTTTGTAGAGCTTTTGTCCAAAATATGATGATAATGAAACTAAATCATTGTAATAATCAGTAGCCGAACTACAACGTTTCTTTAATCCCTGACTTTTTGATGCACCATGTGCAGTAAGAGCAACCAAAATGGGCCACTAAACTACTACCAGGCATGACAGAGACGCACTACAAAGGGTTGCAGCAAGGATGTGATCTACCCTCCATCGGTGAGATTCACACCATCCGCTGTCGCAAAATAAAGCCCGATCCGTCATTCAAGACCCCAGCCATCCCGGCCACAAACTGTTCCCCCCCTGCGCTCTGGCCAGCGGTACAGCACTGTTAAAGCACAGACCTCTAGACTCCAGAACAGCTGCAGAGCACATCCTCAACAGCTAACTGTGCAGTGCCTCACAGCTCAATGCACCTCTGCGCTCTGCACTTGCTCCTGTTGTTATTTTTATTGTGTACTGTGTACACTGCGTGGTGTCGTGTGCTGTACTGTGTACGTCCCGAGAGATCAGGGGGAATAAGAATTCCGATGTAGATGTACATACGGCAACAAACTCCTCTACTCTACTATAGTCAAACATATTATGGTCAGTTAAAGATTCGATTTAAATAAGAGCTCAGCTGAGGTGAAATATAGAAGTTACTGAGGCCCCAAAACACAGGACTATGCAATCTTAGACTACAGTTTTTTTAGTTAATTAAACTGTGCTTATTAAACAATTCAAGTACTGATCCACAAAGGGTTCGGTGCTGATTTACCACCTTGAATTAGTTCAGCGTTGCCTGTGCCCTGGAACTCGTTAATGAATTAAGACACTCGTGGCCAGCCTTGTGATAACTGGCTCGGGAGCAGCAGTCACCTGTCCTCCGGCCGCCAGGTGAGCCAGGATGAGCGCATCACTTCCTGCCGCGAGGCTGTGCCCGCCCACCCCCACGGCCCCCGTCGCCCGCGGCAACACCGATTTCTTCTTCCGCCCGCGCTTGGAGGGCGTCTGCATGGCCACCTGGGCGGAGCCCGACTGGGCCACCTCCTCCGTCTTCGGCTTGTCTGGGGAGACAGAAGGGGAGGGTGAGCGCACGTGGACACACAGTGCAGGACGAACAGCCTGAAGCCCATAGCGGCCCTAACATGCAAACTCCACACATAAGCCCCCCCCCCCGTCCAGATGAGAACCCACGTTTATACCCGGCACGAAATCCATCTCGTCACCTGGCGTTTGCCCATCGCTGCGAACTTCAACCTTTCACCTGTCGGTAACAACAAGAGCCTTCATATACTGTCCTGAGCTGACCAGCTTCGCAGCACTATAACGACCCTGCAGATACATTCAAGCTACAAGAGCTGAGAGAGAAGACACTCCTGTGCTCTTGTGGCAAACATTGAAATATTACAAAATATTTATAAAAGTATAAAATAAAGCGCTTTAGCGATCGAAACTGCTAAAAATTTAGGCTGCTTGCTCCAGCCAAACGCCCTTTTCCGCAACTCCTGTTTAACCTATACCAGTCCATTTCTGTGTTTAATTATTCTTCCCAAAACGAAGACAAACATGTGACTAGAGTCCTTTTGGCAAGGTTTCCTGTTTCCTGCGGTTAAAAGTGTTTTTTGCATGTCTGAGGAAATCGAGAACCTGCCTTTCGTCTGTCAGGACACCTCTTGACAGCCCGTCTCTATCAGCTCCAGCTCGACCTGCAGGACTGTCTTTGACTATACGACTATAGTAACCTCTGACACCTGAAGAAGGCTCCACGGCCGAAACGCTGTGTTTCTTTTCTTCTCTTGTTTCGTGGAATAAACCTGTTTCTTGCTCCTTTGCAGCCTGCGCATGCTCCCTACTTGAACTACCTGATCAGAAAAACGTTTCTTCCTGGGGAGGGTGGGCGAGACCCTAAACTCTGGGGGACCCCAGTGCCCCGACGCCGCGCTGGTGGGTTTGGGAGAAACCCGAGCGCGGCAGACTTCAGATACTGCCGCAGTGGGAACCGGGGCGCCGTGAGGCCCAGCCCCGCTCTCCGACGGAGGCTCGGCGGAGATAAAGGGGCGCCCAGTTGGCCCCCCATCGGGAAAAGGCCTTGCTTTAGTCCGGAATAGGCTCCTCCAAAAGCAACGCGCGCGCACACACACCACACACACACACTCCTCCTCTCGCCTGCCGTCCTGCGTACCGCTGGGGGTCTGGGGGTGCAGCGCGGACACGATCATGGTCGTGGTGGGGTGCCCCGTGATGAAGGACTGCGAGGAGGAGGGCGGGCTGGACACCAGGGCCCCCGAGGGGGTAGTGATCACCAATCCCGCTGTGGAGAGAGAGAGAAAGAGTGAAGGGGGGGCGTCAGCTAACTCTTTTCACACTGGGACAGCGGGGGGGTCTACCGTGGTAAAGTTCGATGCCCTGTCTGGGGGGCACAGAGGTCAGCTTGGGAGGTTTACAAAAAGAAAGAAAAAACGCCAGTCTGGACTGGAAAAAGGGGGCGTCTGTGACAGCGGGGTCCAGACTGGACTGGAAAAGAGGGGGTCTGTGACAGCGGGGTGCAGTTACCTGCCGTCATGATCCCAGTGGAGGGCACGGGCACCACCGTGATGTTCTGAGAAGTGTGTGGTGGGTGGAGGTGCGCCCCGCCGAGCGAGGGGCCGCTGCCCCCCTCCTGCTTGGTCCCCCGCCCGGCGCTCCCACCCGACCCCGTCTCCATGGTGACCGCTGGCCCGGGCACTGTGAGCACGGCCGTCGGGTAGTGTCCCGAGGATCCGTGAGGAAACGAGGACGACTTGTCCGGAGCCAGCTGCTCCTTCATCTTGTTGATGAACATGGCGTTCTCGATCTGACAGAGAGCAACACTGAGTTAGTACAGACACCGACTGGACCCTCCAGCACATTAACACTGCAGTGTCGTTAATCTCCGCCACCCCTTGTAGCTCCTATCCTGCTCGGCGATCTCCTCCTGTCCTCGAAGCTCCTATCCTGCTCGGCAATCTCCTCCTGTCCTCGAAGCTCCTATCCTGCTCAGCAATCTCCCGTCCTCGAAGCTCCTATCCTGCTCAGCGATCTTCTGTCCTTGAAGCTCCTATCCCGCTCGGCGATCTCCTCCTGTCCTCGAAGCTCCTATCCTGCTCGGCGATCTCCCCCTGTCCTCGAAGCTCCTATCCTCCTCGGCGATCTCCCCCTGTCCTCGAAGCTCCTATCCTCCTCGGCGATCTCCCGTCCTCGAAGCTCCTATCCTGCTCGGCGATCTCCCGTCCTCGAAGCTCCTATCCTGCTCGGCGATCTCCGCCGGCCTCTCACTACTCCTCAACATTCCCCCCCTGGGATCAAGCCCTTGGATTCCCCAGGCTGTGGAGCAGAGCGGCTCAACCGAAGGGACCGATCGCCCCAGTGACTGAACGCGCATTGCGTGACAGAAGAGACCCCCAGAATCACGGCTGAGAGCCGAGAGCCTCTCTCGGCGATCTGCGCCCTTCTGCGCGACAGGCAGGCCCGAACTGTGCGCAGTGTTCCCGCGGGTGAGCCATCCAGGGAGCTCCGGTCTCAACACAAGCTCTCCCGGGTCTTCCTCCCACACCAAGCACGCCACCGACCTCCTCTTCCTGCTCTCAGGCGCCCTGCGTGCTGCCTAACCACGTGCGTCCGATCAGACACACCTCCACCGAGGGCCCGATCCCTTGCGCGGCAGGAAGAGTTCGACCCACGGCCCTGGCCCTGACGTACCCCAGTCTTTCCAGTCCCGAAGGAATCTGACCAGCGGCAGAGGACTGCGATACTCTCTTAACGGCAATGCAGATCTCAGCTGGGGTGTAAACAGATTTGCAGAGCCCTTCCGCAGACAGATGTGCTGGCTGTGTGGTTGCTGGTGTACGCAGCGGAAGGAAAGATCAAAATTAAAGTCATACAGTTACCTGTCCTTGCACTGCGGGAACTGGAGACCAGAAGTACGAGGAGTTAAAATGAGAATCTTCCATCATTCCTGCAATTAACAGAAATCCGTTAACACAAAGGGCCTGATTAACACAGGGAGCTCTCTCTAAGAAAGAGCTTTCATTCGAACGGTCAGAATTCAAGCAGGGTCCAATTTCAACAGAAGAGATATTGGGGACCAAAGCAGCTGGCCTGGTAAAAACTTGGAAAGGGAAATACTTGAATGCTTACGTACTTGAATACTTGAGAGAAGGCTGTTATTTCAAATGGATCTGAAAGAAAAATCAAGTGTGTATCAGGATTTACTGGGATATTTACCCAGATATAGGATGTAAGTCATTTAAACTCCAGAGCTCAGTCAACTTGAAGTTCTGTGCTCGCAGAAACCTGGACGCAACTTGTTTCTCTTGTGATTCTAGTCACAACCTGGATTTCGGCTGTAAACACACGCAGAAAGCATTTGCCCAAAGGGTGGCGGGAGGGTGGAACAAGCTGCCCGGCCATGTTATTAAGGCCGATACCCTGCCTTCTTTCAAGAAACAGCTGGATGAGCCGCTGCATCAATCAATTAACTACCAAACAAGCAAGATGGGCCAAATGGCCTCACAGCTGGACCTTTTCCCTATAATAATTAGTAGTAGTAATAATAATAATAATAATAATAATAATAATTACTTATACTTATATAGCGTTTTTTCTGGACACTCCACTCAAAGCTCTTTACAGGTAATGGGGATCCCTTCCACCACCCCCAGTGTGCAGCCCCACCTGGATGATGCTCCATTCCTCTCCCCACACACCAGCTCTCAGTGGGGAGGAGAGCAGAGTGATAATATAATAATAATAATAAACTTTATTTATATAGCGCCTTTAAAGGTGGCTTCTCAAAGCGCTTTACAGGATGACAATAACAATAAATAATAAGACTACAACAATAAATAAGAAGATTTCACAAGATAGGACACAATTATAATTACAACAATACAACAATAACAATAGAGGAGACCCTGGAAGGTGGTATTAAGAAGAGCAGAGGGGAGTAGAATGGAACCAGTTCAGTAAAGGCTTTTCTGAAGAAGAGGGTTTTGAGTCTGGATTTGAAGGAGTTTAGAGAAGGTGACTCTCTGATATCCTTGGGCAGAGAGTTCCAGAGCTTGGGGGCATAACAGGAGAAGGCCCTGTCGCCCATACAATGTAGACGGGCTTGGGGGGACAATAAGGAGAGCAGACTTAGAAGAGCAAAGGTGGCGAGGTGGGGAGTACGGCGATAAAATGCCCTACTGATGAAGCCAGTTCAGAGAGGGGGATTATTAGGAGGCCATGACTGGTAAAGGCCAGGGGGAAATTTGGCCAGGACACTGGGGTAACACCCCTACTCTTTTTGAGAGATGCCCTGGGATTTTTAATGACCACAGAGAGTCAGGACCTCGGTTTTACATCTCATTCGAAGGACGATGTCTGTTCACAGTATAGTGTCCCTGTCACCATTCTCGGGCATTAGGACCTCAGGGTGAGCGCCCCCTACTGGTCCCACTAACACCTCTTCCAGCAGCAACCTTAGCTTTCCCAGGACGTCTACCATCCAGGTACTGGCCAGGCTCACACCTGCTGAGTTTCAGTGGGGCTGCCAGCTGGGAGCTGGAGGGTGACATGGCTGCTGGCATATTCCTACTTTGTTTTTAATGTTCTTTAAGTTAAAAGGGTTGGACCAATCAGCAATCATCCTTTAGATTGTCAGTGCATCATTATAACACTGCCATCAGTCATTAAACAAAACCACCTCCGATTTTCAATCTAAGTGTTTCTGATAATCGGATCTGAAGATGGTGGACGTCTTACTATTAAAGGTTAACTACAACGCTATTCTTATATTTTGGGGTTAGAACCAATCAGCACTGACGAGTGCATTCCAAACCACAATGTAAAAAAAGCCTTATTACACTGTAAACAAGCAGGCTTGTGAATACACCTCTTTTATTCCAACAGAAATAAGGCTTTCATTTTCGAGACTCCGCTGACAAATACTTCTCGTTAACTCTGCCTGCAGATCACGCTGGAACATTTCTGCGGTGCAATGTCTCCTGCACAACCTGTACCTATTCGCTCGTCCATCACAGCACATCAGTCAGCACAGCGATCAGCGCTTCACTTCGCGGTTCGTGGGGACTCAAGTGCGAGTTTGTGACAACATGGCGACTGACAGTACTTTCACACGGCTCGTGATTTTGTGCTTTATTTGAAACCTGTACATTTCTTCTCCAACGCCGAAGAATTTATTTGCATTACCAAGATGTAATACCAGGCCTGAAAACTTGGGACTGCAGTTCCCCTCTATTATGAGTTCTACAGCTGTCTGGACTGTATTGATGCTCACACTGGGGTTCCCCGAGGACAGAAGTGCCATCTTTAGGAAGGCAATTCATGCAGGACATTACATTACCACAATGCAAGCAAACACTATTTAACACACTGACTAGCAAGGCCTTATCAGATCATAAAGAATGGTTCATTATGTTAACGAGAAATAAAAAGGCTATTTTATTTCTTTATCGTTGTCCACCACACGTGTGACAGCTGTGCTCCAGCCTCCAGGAGGCACGCTGCTATTGTATCACCTGTGTGCTCAGCGCGGTCCCCACAGCTGTGTGAGCTGGCAACAGCACCACCTGCTGGGCAGGGCAAAGCGGTGTAGGACTGGTGTCCTATCCCAGGTGGAATCGGATACACAAGCCAGGCCAAACGAGGGCTTGATGAGCTTGGAGGCTTCCATAACTTAAGACAGACTTTAGTGCTAATAGTTCATTTGTATCAGGACTGCTGTATGAAATAAACATGTGGTTCCTTTAGAAGCCTGCATCCACCAATCTTTCAAAAAGCCTTTTCATAATATACGTGGCTGTACGTCATGTGTAACATCCATTTTCTGAACCTCTTTATTCAGGACAGGGTAATGGAGGAGTCGGAGTCTATCCCAGCAAGCAACTACTATTCATCGACTTCAGCTCAGCTTTTAACACTATCATCCCAGAGAAACTAGTCAAGAAACTCAGTGCACTGGGTTTCAACACCACCCTCTGCAACTGGACTCGGGACTTTCTGACAGGCAGACCTCAGGCTGTCAGGCTTGGAAACCACACCTCCAGCACACTAACTCTGAACACTGGGGTCCCCCAGGGGTGTGTGCTTAGTCCATTGCTCTACTCCCTCTATACCCACGACTGTAAGGCCAAACACAACACCACCCCATCATCAAGTTTGCCGATGACACCACAGTTGTAGGTCTGATCACAGACAATGACCAGAGGGCCTTCAGGGAGGAGGTCAGTCTCCTTACAACGTGGTGTGAAGACAACAACCTCACCCTCAACGTCAGCAAAACCAAGGAGCTGATCGTTGATTTCAGGAAACTGCAAACCAGACATGCCCCTATCCACATCAACGGAACTGAAGTGGAAAGGGTCAGTAACTTCAAATTCCTTGGCGTACATATCACCGAGGACCTCACATGGTCTCTCAACACCACCTGTCTGATCAAGAAAGCGCAACAGCGCCTGTACTTCCTAAGACGGTTGAAGAAGGCTAGGATATGTCCCCAGATCCTCACTACCTTTTACAGATGCACTACAGAAAGCACACTGACAGGCTGCATCACAGTGTGGTATGACAACTGCAGTGCTGCTGACCGCAAAGCCCCACAGCGGGTGGTGAAAACTGCCCAATCACTGGGGTTACCCTCCCATCTATCCAGGACATTTATGACAGACGGCGCTTGAGGAAAGCTCTAAGCATCATCAAAGACCCCACACACCCCAGCTACAGACTTTATGATCTGCTACCATCTGGAAAACGGTACCGGAGCATTCGGGCCCGGATTACCAGACTCAGAGACAGTTTTTACCCCCGCACTATCAAACTGTTAAATTCTCAGCCTCTCTCAGTCTCACCTCACCTCTCACCTATGATCTGAACCTCACAGTGCCTTCTTCCTTTCTTTCTTACCAAAAACTCAAACACACATTGTAAATCTACCTCTACCATACATGTCAAAAGCTCACTCCCCATAATTTCTATCCCTTTATTTTATTCTGTTGATGCATATTTTTGCACATAACCTGTTACCTTTTTGCTGTTTTGCACATTGCCTGTTGTTGTTTTTGCACACTGCCTGTTGTCTCTGTCTTTCTTTTGTTATACAATTGTATTGTTATTGTTGTTTTTTTTCTTTGTACTACTTATGTCTGAGAGCTAGCTAAATAGCATTGCGTTATACCATATACCAGTATATGAGTATAATGACAATAAACTTGAACTTGAACTTGAACAGGCGCAAGGCAGGGTACACCCTGGATGGGACACCAGTCCATCACAGGACACACAGAGGCACAGTTTTCCCAGAAGCCAATTAACCTACCAGCATGTCTCTGGACTGTGGGAGGAAACCCACAAGAACACGGGGAGAACATACAAACTCCACACAGACAGCACCCCAGGAACTGAGCCCAGGACTGTGAGGTAGCCATGCCCCCTACCATACCACTGTACTGCACTACTATAAACATCTATCATAATTATAATATAGTCTGCAAAGGAACAAGTAATAGGTTTATTCCACGCTGAAAAGAGAAGAGAAAAAACACCATTTCGGTTGTGAAGCCTTCTTCGGGTGTCATGATATATTATAATTATATCTATCATTATCAACCATTAATTGGATGATGGACCCAGTTAATTGAAAATCATTCCATTAGCTACAAAACAAATGCTAGCAAGACCTGTGACTTTACATACTTAAAACTGGAGATCAGAGGCATCTGGAGAAAGAATGCATTTCATTTATATAAGAGTCCCATGCATACGCTGGAAGAGATATCATACCTGGGACAAGGCAATGTTATTTTCTGTAAGGAAACCTACGATTTCAGGCTCTTAATCAAATCAAATCAAATCAAAACAAAGTTTATTTCTCAAATGCACAACAGTACAAATACAAACGGAATAAAGCTCAATATGAGTCGAGCTGCTATGTGTCCATGGTGTATGCAATATATACACTAGTAGTGCGGTTATGCTGAATACATTGAAAACTGTGTGTCCATGTAGCCATTACAGGTGATTTGCTGAAGGAGCTGCAGGTTGGCTATTTAGTAATCCCAACTGACTCTCAATCACATGAGCGTTAGATGGATTCGTGAAACGAGGAGCAGAACTACCCACAATGTTCAGACGTGTGGAGACCATAACCATCTTATTCCTCCAGCTCTTTTAATACTGGAACAACTCAAAGCATGTCCCGGAATTTCACATCCAAAAGCACAGGTGGAATTCAAACAAAACACCATGGGAAAGTGCAGGATTTGTCTTTAAAGCGCGGAGCTTGACACGGAGCAGTCAGGCTGGAAGGACCGAGTGGCAGATTAACCCACAGCAAACCCTCCGTTTAACAGCCAAAATCTGCCAAAGGGGAATTCTGTCTGTGAAAATCAGAAATACCGAACTATTCCCGCAATAATAGACAAAGGATATAGAAAATAAGTAAAATACAAAATACACAAATAGAAAAACGAGGTAAAAATCAATACTACATGTGTTTTAAATACTGGCCCGGCTATTTTATATAGCAGGTTCAGCTGCTTACGGTCGACACCCATCCTGAGCAAGTGCCCTGCCCCTGCAGGGCTCCGATATTATTCCTGAAGTGTGGGTTTCGTGTGCTTGGGCAAATCTTCTACACTATATTCATGACACAATCAGGAAAAAGGCACAGGAGTCGTTCTCATTGACTGTGTTGGTTGTAATAGTTCAAAATGAAATCAAATAATCCAGGAGGCACATATATATATATTATATTCACAGTTATTTTTCTTATGTAATAAGTGTTTTTATGCTGAAATAATGTGTTTTGTGATTTAATGGACATTCGGCACCCCTTCCGCAATATTAGTCACTTAAACTGGGGGTGTCTGCTGCAGACAACAGTCTACACACACACACAAAATCAGGAAGGTACAGGTACACACACGCACAACCAGGTAGGAACACAGAGCGCACACAGAGCACAGAGCACACACAGAGAGCACACAGAGCGCATAGCACACAGAGCACAGAGCACACACAGAGAGCACAGAGCACACACAGTGCGCATACACACAGACTGTGCAGGCAGTGTACAAGAGTCTCATTTCTCAATCACTCCTGACACAGCCTTCGAAGGTATCACTATGGATACCAGTCATCCTGGTTTCTCACTTCTCTCCCCCCTCTGGGCAGCGTTACAGGAGCACAAAGGCACAGATTTCCAGATCCAGAGACAGTTTCTTCCCGCAAGCTGTCAGATCACTGAACTCCACCCCACCACTGGCTCACACTGGTTTTTCTATTCTCATACTGTTTGTCTGACTTTTTTTTTAAAGTTGTATGTTATTTAACTTGTTGTTACTGCTGCTGTTCTGTGTTTATGTTTTTAGCGTTTCCTTTATGTCTTTGTATTGGAGCACACATGCACATAAGCATTTTATTGCACTTGTGCACATGACGAAAAACTGAACTGAAAGTACTGTACGGTCACTATTAATGTTGCGAATTGCCTGTCTCTCTATGGGCGAGAGTTTGTGAGAATCACGACCTGAGGCGGCCCTTCCTGCTCACTAGTCCCTGTGATGACTAATATAATGTGATGGACGAGCGCATAAGTACAGGTTGTGCAGCAGACATTTCACCGCAGAAATGTGATGTGCAGGATGAGTTAACAAGTAGTATTAAAAACGAGGTAAAAATCAATACTACATGTGTTTAATATACTGGCCGGCTATTTTATATAGCAGGTTCAGCTGCTTACGGTCGACACCCATCCTGAGCAAGTGCCCTGCCCCTGCAGGGCTCCAAAATTATTAATAATCTATATAAATAATAGACATACGAACAGGATCTTGTAAGAAAAAAACACCCCGAACTTATTGAGTTTGGTGATGTCCATGGGACCGGGGCTCGACGGAGTTATCACAAGCGAGGGACTTGCAACAAAATACGACTTCCCGTCTTTAATTTGCTTTAGGTTTTACGTGTCCCAATACTTATGATCGCCTGATTTTTTTGGGGTGGGGACTGACCCAGCACCATGTTCCGGTGGAAAACGGATTTAAGTGGGCCTGCAAAACATATCCTCAAAATAAAAGCTGACCTCCTGAGCTCAGAATCATTTGTTTTATGGGAATTCCGATTTCTCGTGTATACGACAGGGAAAACTCAATGTTAGGTTTGGGGGGGCACTGTATACCTGCTTTTAGATATACGTGGGGACCTATGTGGAATATATCCATATAAGCACATATTTCTGTGTCTGCCTATAGAACACATTTCTTTGGCAGCAGATGCAAAAAAAAAAGCCAATACAGACCCACTGGTGGAAGAATTGCTGGGAGGCCTTTAGCCAATAGGGGATCAATAGAGGATAACCACGATGATGTGGGTGAATGTAAATGATGCTTGTGCCCATGTAAAACTTGCTCCAAATGAATGCTAATGTTAGCAACCTTATTATTCCCATTGAGCTCCGAGTACTGGTCTTAACTGGCCCATTAGGGTCACCGGTTAGGAGCCTAAACTTAGTGACACACCGTTTATCACTATGAAATGTTAAAAACATAATGCACAACCTCTCCGCTTATATTGATCACACAAGTCAGGGTTTCAAAGGAAGGTAAAAAACACTAATAGTAATGAGGTAACTAATAAACCTCCCATTTCTCAGGGGCTAGACACGCCGTGCTTCACCCACCCGAAAAGTAATAATATCACTGCTAATAATAACACTAATTACAGCGAAAATAATGATAATGAATGTCGTAATTCCTTATTTAATTTAATTTTAACGTTTCCCGCTCACTCTCGGAAGGTCGGTGCAGGGAATTTGTATCTTTTGTTTCGGAACGTCTTTCGGGAGAGAGAGAGAGAGGGAGGGGGGTTGGAAAAAACAAAACAAAAACAAATATTTTTCTTTCTCCTTTATTGCGAGAGAGACCGACAAAACAAACAATTGTTCTTTTAAAACTTCCGGCAATGATCTGTCTCTCTCTCTCTCCCCCCCCCTCCCTCTCTCTCCGTGTGTCTCTCTGTGTGCGAAAATAAAAAAAGAGAAAAAAAAAGAAAAAAAACTCACGGATAGAAAAAAAAAACCGTCGACGACGCGCGAGCCCCGGCGCGAGGAGAGCCGCAGCCTCATTCGGCAGCACGGGGCTGCAGACTTCCGGCTCCGGGGAAACAGAGACGAAGCGGCTCCTAATTAAACGGTCAAAAATAAGGATAATTAAGAATAATTAACGGGGAAAATTACCAGAGCTGGTGGCGGATTCCCTCCCCCCGGCGGCGGCTTGAGCCGAGGAAACCGGGCCGGTGAGAAACTTGGTCCAAAATCCCCGGATTGTTCGGGGGCCCAGATCCGCGCGAGGACTTTTTTTTCTTTTTTTTTCGTTTTTTTTTCCAGAGGCAGCTCGACGCTGGCTCGCGCTACGCCACACTTCCGGGAGATAAGGTCGAATACTGCGGGGAATGCTTCGTCACTTCCTGAGAGTGAGGTCAAATCACACACGCCTGCGAAAGATAGCCAACATTGTCTTGGATAGATTTGCAAAATGTTATTGTTAAACATTCAAAGGTAAATATTAAATTGAAAGGATATTATTTTATATTTTGGTAGACCTGATTTGGATAAAGGATATGATTTTATTTTAACTTGTTAATTATGTTGGCGAAATACTTCATCAAGTAAATGGTCTAATACTGCTCCCTCTATTGATGCTTTTAAGGTAGAATTCCTTTTTTATTTAAATTCTATTAGAAATTTAAAGAATCAAAAGGCAAGACGTACAATGAAAATAGGTAAAAAGCTTCATTTTCAGCTTTTATGATTATGAATGCCTCTGGCTGTGAAGTGTGTTTATTTCTGTATCCGTTTTAATATTTTGTCTCCTTTTTTGTATTTCTGACGTTTAAATAAAAGGGCGGGGAAGGTAGCCCATCTTGTGTACAGCAGTATGTGAGCTGGCGCCAAGGTACTCCGTCCGGTTTGATGGAAGATGTTGCTTTTGTAGTCCTTTTTTGTATATTTAAGATCCAGACACTTTATTGTTTTAACCAAATCGGCGCCGAATTTTCAGATTTTTATTTTTCTACCAGCAGGCAGGCAGCACTAACAGACATAGTGTCCCTGAAAGAAAACCAAAAGCTCCATTTTGCGACGTTAAGGCCGAAAAAAGGCTGGGACGTCATCAGAGTGCGCCAGAAACTAAGCGCCGTGAAAATATTAGCTACATTCTTTATTTTGCTTCCTCCATCTCTGTGACTAAAAAAATATAAATATAGACATTTTATTTTCTAATACACTACGTTGGTGCTGCGAAGTATTGAAATGTTATATTGGTGAATGAGTTTTCCACAAAAAATAATTTATGGGGATACTGTAATTTTACGTTAATGATAAACGGCCTTTCACAGAAACGGTAAAATCCTAAAGAACTGTTTGACAAGTATTTTGAACTCTCTGGGGCCATAAAAGAGATTGCTGAGCATCGATGAGAACCCCCGTCATAAATAACGGATGTTCATGTCGATTCATGTCTCTTTGCCGATTTTTCTTCCATGACATGACCTGGAGAAGTCCCAAGCCAATAAGCTAATAAAGACGGAATAATAAAACCTATCGTGTAGTCTTTGTTTTTCTGAGGGTGTAACCGTTTCTGGTCTCGGCTCTATGGGATAAAACGCGAAAAGCTCCTCAGCCGGACAACTGCAGCTGTCGGTTACCCAGTAACTTGATGATGCACTTATGCAACGAATTTCTTAAATCCCCCACGCACACGCCCCTCATCACTAGTTTAAAGTACTTCAATTACAGCTATCTTGCCGAGGAGAAAAACCTAGCTGCGGCCATTTTACAAAGCCGAGTGAGGGCAACATCCGGGTAACTTCCCCGTCTGAAAAGCCCATCCGACATTTTAGTTAAGGGCAGACCATTTAAGGTCGAGAGGCGCCGAGGTGGTAATAAAAAAAAAAACGACAAACGAATAATTCTCCCAACCCAGAATCCCAGGGTATTTTTCTAAATGGGGCGTATACCTACATTTCAAAAATTAGTTTCTTTGATAGTCACAAACCCTGTGTTGTTTTCTCGGGTTGCTGTACAGTGCAGTGACACGGGTGGCCGGAAAGTGAATTTAAAAACGGAGATGAGGAGTTCTTTCAAACTATGTCGACGGGAAGGTTGTGCGTGATAAAAATGAAGTTTATAACAAAAGTTCGGGAGAGAACTGCTCAGCCTCAGCGGGCAGTAGTTCGCAGTCACTCCCGACGTCATTTCCTTACCCAGACATCATCAATCCTATGCCGTGCTCTCCCTCGCATTCATCTCCTGGTTCCTCCCTCCACCCCATCTCTTCCTCTGCCTCTTGGTCACTCCATGGGCAGGAGGTCGGCCCTCAGCCCAGCCAAATTGTACTGTTGTTGCGGCTGGGAGGCCTTCTCAAATGAAGAAGCACACACACACACCTGAGGTGGACCACCTCACACGCGTGGGAAAAAAGCGCGACAGCCGAAACACTGTCTCTTTTCTCGTTCTTTCCGTGTGGAATAAACCTTCACCTGATCCTCTGTGGCCTTTGCATGGTGATGCAGCTCCCTGCTTGGAAGTACTTCACCCAATTTGACAAGGACTTAAACTCGGGTCTTCTTCTTCTTCCCAGTGAGCCACGCCCAAGTCCTCAGAGGCCTGGACAGACTCCCACCAAGGCAGAAACAGGCTTGGGGTTGTGTCTTCTGCAGGCCTCAGGCCCTCCGAAAGTTCACAGAGTCGGTTCCTGTCCAGAGAACGAGGGGGGGGCGAGGTTCCCCTGCACTCCGGCAGATCCCCACCCCCACGACCACCAGAGAGGGGGAGTCTTCGTTCATTATGGCCAGCAGCTACATCACCCTGCAGCCCCACTGCAGCTCAGCAGGTGTGAGCCTGGCCAGTACCTGGATGGGAGACTCCTGGGAAAGCTTTCTCTCCTCGCTGCTTTCACGGTTGTCTCAGTGAGGTCAAAGGACATTTTCCATGGGATGTGAACAAAGTAGCTTCTGAGTTTAGACTGACCAAAAATGCATTTTTATTAACACTTGTCTCCATCGCCAAGGTCTAAGCGTTCATAACAACATTCTTATTTTAAAACATTTTGTAGGCTTTTATTTAATTACAGTGTATTTTTTCGAGGGTTTAAAAATCCTTTACCACGGGCGTAAAGACAATTGGGATTGTGCTGAAAAGTGTCCCAATAGTTAATATTAAATATTTATTGTGCCAAAAAGAGCCAGCACAATGTCTATCTACATAATACAAGATTGCTTCTAGAGCACAGAAGTATTCATTACTATATAAGTGATTTGATTGCTTTTAAGTCACTTTTAAGTCAAATTCTTGTGCCAAATATTGGCATAATCTGCTACTTTGATTCACTGGGCTAGCTTTTAGCTTGTTTTGTGAATCCCATATAACACTGGTACCCAACCCCGGTCCTGAAATGCCCGGTCCAGTTACTACAGACAGGCTCAGACCGGGGGTTCTGGAGAGGCCCAGTCCAGTTACTGCCAGGCGGGCTCAGACCCCGGGTTCTGGAGAGGCCCGGTCCAGTTACTGCCAGGCGGGCTCAGACTCCAGGTGGTCCAGGTCCAGTTACTACCAGGTGGTCCCAGACCCTGGTTCTGGAGAGGCCCGGTTCAGTTACTGCCAGGCGGGCTCAGACCCCGGGTTCTGGAGAGGCCAGAACTACAGACAGGCTCAGACCCTGGGTTCTGGAGCGGCCCGGTCCAGTTACTGCCAGGCGGGCTCAGACCCCGGGTTCTGGAGAGGCCCGGTCCAGTTACTGCCAGGCGGGCTCAGACTCCAGGTGGTCCAGGTCCAGTTACTACCAGGTGGTCCCAGACCCTGGTTCTGGAGAGGGCCGGTCCAGTTACTCCTACAAATCAGCCATTTCTAAAGTTTGGCAGCATTTGCGGGTAATTTGTTCAACCGCCAGAGGGCTAGTCCGATGGCCGAAGGGGTCCTAGCCCATCCCTACAGCTGCTGCAGGCCTAGAGAAACAGCCGATTCAACAGTCACCTGAACCCCCGCCGCTCCGGGGCTCCCCGTAACCAGGGCGGCAGGCCCCCGGGGCTCAGCCTCGGGGCACGACGAGCTTCAGGGCCTCGTCCAGCGCCACCGCCGTCAGCCCCCAGACGCGGTGCCTGCCGTTCTTGAAGACCGGCAGGGTGTAGGCGTAGCGCGCGCCGGCGCGGAAGTGCGTGTAGCCGCGGTTGGCCGGGTCGCACAGGTGCGAGAGGGTGAGGGTGAAGATCTCCTCCACCTGCGCGGGACACAGAGCGAGGGCGGCCATGAGCACGGGGCCCCGAGGGCCCGGACAGGGGTCAGACCCGCCGCAGCCCGGAATGAAACCCCCGTGACGCGTCAAGGCGAACTGCCGTCCAGGCTTCTGGTCATTAAATCTCAGGTCACGAAACGCATTCATTGAGGGTATAGAAACAGTTGCCAAATTTCAGATTAAGCACCAAAGTCACAAGCTCTGCGAAAGTACAGTAAGTCGCCGTGTTGTCACAAACCCCTGGCCTCTCCGTGGGCGAGAGCTTGTGAGAATTGCACTGTGAAGCGGCCCTTCCTGCTCACTAGTCCCTGTACTGACCAAAGTTACGGGATGGACGAGCAAATGAGCGTGATCTGCAGGCAGAGTGAACCAGTGAGTAGTATTTGTTGGTAAAACCATCTCAAAGTGGAGAGCAATATTTCTACTGGATGAAAAGAGCTGGACTCACAAGCCTGCTCGTCTACAGTGTCACAGGGCCGCTTCACCTCACTGGAAGTCCTGTTGCCTCGTTCCGAATCACAGAACATGGCGCTGCGCCGACCTGGACATTGTGTCTATTTTGTGATGTCAATAGGAGTTCTTACAAGCTACTGTGTACCTTGTACTTTCACTGTGGTTTGAAATGCACTCATCAGTGCCGATTCTTTCCAGGTCTGAAATATTTCAATTGCATTGCAGACCCCCTTTAATAAATACTCCCACGGCTGGCTCTAGTTGTTCGAACTGAGTGGACTAGAGGGGCATTGACTTTGTCATGCTGGGACATTGGACACTGGAGGACTTAGTTTATGAAATAAATGAAATAATATAGGGTTATTATTAGACCTTTCCCAACAGCCTTGAATTGTCCACTTTCTCTCATTTGGCTGAACACATTCTGCATTAAAACTGTCCTTCAAACGGACTGGCACAGTCTAAAGACAAACTTGACAAATTCGATCCTACTGCTTGATTTTCCCCTGTCCACCAAACAGCTCCCTGGTGTTCTGGTCCTGTACGGTCTCCTTGATTCTGTATGGTCCGGGTTTCTTATTCTAATGTAAAAGAAGCTCTCCCCTTAGATATTTCAATTGGGCCACGTGTCCTCCTTCCTCAAGGAGTTCAAATCCAGACTTGATACTAAATGTCCTTCCACAGAGCCTTTGTGAAATGGATGGTTTTTTCAGTAATTCAGAAAAATACCCATTTTCAAATCAGGCGTTTGCTACAAATCAACAATCCCGCAACAGGCTTTTTACAGGCAGAGAGCCCGATCCGCAGAGCAAGGCGAAGGCACAGAGAGTTCAGAAAACCCTTACCTCAGCCGGATTTGGGTTAAACGAGAACGCCTCCACTGGACCCAGATGGGCAACAACCGGAGCAATCATCATTCCTGACTGAAAGAGAAATCCAACCGGCAAAAACAAAACAAAACACATCATTCAGTAATCACGTGCCGTTTGCCAAACGGACTGAACTTCCTCCTCATGGGCCGATTGCCCATCAACACTCACTCATTTAGGGTTAAGTGACTAGCAGGGCTGGACTATGGACAGGAGCACCTTCTGTGTGGAGTCCGACACCTGTGGGGCTTTTTAACGAGCTGCCCAACCCCATCTTTCAAAGACGTGACAGTGCAATTACCTAGTGTCTCTATATTGTCTGTGCTTGTCCCGCCCAGGGTCTGTCCCAGCCTCAGGCTCCGGGACTATGAGACAGGCTCAGGGTCGCTCCCTGATGCCGCATGGCTAGGCCTGGTTTACCCACAATGCTCCAACTGCTATACGCCCCGGAGAGAGCTGCAGCGGATCGGGGCGATCAGCCCTGTGCCGCAAGAAGGGCGGGGGGTCAGCGCTCTCACCCTGTCGCGGAGCGGCTTCAGGACCCCCCACACGCAGCCCGGGGCCACGGTCACCCCCAGCTCTTCCCTGGCCTCGCGGAGCGCCGTCTCCACCACGTCGCGATCCGCCGGGTCCTGCTTGCCTCCCGCGAAACTGGGGCAGAGAGAGAGAAACAAGGGGGCAAACTGTTATTCAAGCGCCCTCCTTTCCCCTCTTATTACTGGGCTGATGCAGGGGCAGCACAGTGGTGCAGTGCTCAGCATTGCTGCCTCACAGGGCTGCAATTCCAGGGGTACAGTCTGTGTGGAGTTTGCATGTTCTCCCCCACATACTGCATGGCTTTCATCCGGGTGCTCCGGTTTCCTCCCACAGTCCAAAGACAGCACTAGGTTAAGTGGCTTCTGGGAAAACTGGCCCTGGTGCGAGCGTGTCTGTGTGTGCTAAGAGAGGGACTAACGTCCTGCCCAGGGCGTACCCTGCCGTGTGCCCGTTACTTCCTGGGATAGACTCTGGCTCCCCCACGACCCTGAACCTGACGAAGCCGTTAGAAAAAAATGGATGGATGGAAAGACGCTGTGGGCGTGTTTGATCCAGTATTATTCCAGCCCGTGTCTGGTCATCAACTGATCACTCGCTTGAGAGCTTTTGAGTCAGCAACAAGGGCTGACAAATTCTTCAAGTTAAGAAGAGACCGCATAAAAGGTTCACGTGCAGACGTAGGTGGATATAATGGGAATTTGTCTATCTTCCCCAATTTCGCTTGGCTTCAGTTTCCAGTGGGTACCCTGTGATGGACTGGCGTCCCATCCAGGGCGTACCCCACTGTGTGCCCCTTGCTTGCTGGGATAGACTCCGGCTCGGGACCCTGAAAATGCAGTAGGATGGAGGGTCCCCCCCCCCAACTTTATATCTGCCGTTTGCTGCCGCCGGAGCGAGACCTCCCAGTTTAAAACAGGTCTACTTCAGACACGGCGCCGCCACACTGCATGCTGGTCCTCCTCCATCAATCCGGCTTCCCTGTCCTGCGTTTCGGGGCTTCTTCCGGGAGCCAGTCAGCTCCGTCAGCAAATGCTTATGACCGACAAGTACCCATGGGCACCGGATCGCAAACCGTCTACTTCCACCTCTACCTGTGGGTTTTTTTGCTCCTGCCGACTTGAGTAAGTTGTGCAAGTTGTGCGGCTCTCCCCCCCCCGTTTCTAACGGGGGCCGTTAGAAAATCTGTTCTTGCTGCTGCCGCCAAGCAATCGTGGATCGAGCATTGCTGACCTCTACCCCCGACTCGCGATTCTGTTCCTGCACAGGGCTTGTCCCGATGGGCATCTAAGCTGTGCGTTCTCGAACTCTGTGGCTATAGCTGCTGCTCTGACATTTACGGCGCTGCCACAATGTCTTTGCATGGGAGCACGCCTGCAAACAGGCAGTCCCCCCCCCCCCGACAAAACGAGCTGGGCAGGACAAGGACGTCACGGCAGCAGATCCCAGCATCCCCCGCGCCGAAACCGGAGCGATCCGCTTACCTGACGTCCCCCTTGTGGCGGCCCGGCAGCCTGCTGGACCTCAGGGTGAAGAGGAAGGCCGGCTCCCCCCGCACCGAGCAGAGCGACACCAGCACCGCCGCCCGGCCTCGCGGCCCCTCGGCCCCGGGCTCGTACAGGGGGCCGTTGGGGCTCAGGGCCCGGCGGCAGCGGGACTCGTTCTGCGCGGACAGGCACTCCCTCAGGGCCGGCGGAGAGGAGGAGGAGGAGGAGGAGGCCTGGTGATGGAGGTCACGGGGACAGGCCAGGCCAGAGAGGCGCGGCTGACCAGACAGGATGCAAGACCGGCTGGCCACGGCACCGCCCGCACACACAGCGTTTCCAGGCAGCCAGGAACCCCCGAGAGAAACAGAACCGCTATTTTTCCCAGAACCGGACCATTGATTGGGATAGCAGCTGTTTTCGGAGCGATTCACCAAGGCCTCCCAGGGTGCCTTAAGGAACCGCTCTCTCCTTCTGGACAGGCATTCTGGGAGGGCAGCTTTGCAGGGGTCTTCGGGGTCCTGCGACGAAGCACGTCTCTGTCTCCTTGTCCAGCCTGTCCAAGCTTCACAACTGGAGTCCGGAAAAACAGACAGGTCAGCCCTCCCTCTCGACTCTGCAGGACAGCCTTCGGTCAGGCGACAAGACGACGCCGTTTTTGAGTTCCACCTGGACAGGCAGTTACGCCAGACAGCCCCGCTCCGGCCCCGAGAAAGAGAATTCTTATCCTTCCTTGCGGGCGGAGACAAACCAGGGGGAACAGGCCGCTCTGGGGCCTCGGAAGCCGTCCTAGATAAGCCCGCGGCGCAGTCTGGCGTTTCGTTCTGACCCGCCTGGGAATTGTCCAACGGGGGTGGAGAGACCAAATGAAACGTCCTGCCATGTCCTGGCCAGGCCCGCTGGAAAACCAGGCATCCCGAAGAGACGGGCCCACACGGGTCCTTGGAGAGCAGCAGCAGGAATCTGCGGGTCCTTTTCAAGCAGGGCGCAGGCAATATCCTCGGACACCTCAACATCCTGCGATCACCAAAATAGACCCATTAATGTCAACAGGCTGCAACTCATCAACATTTATTTGCAGGACTTTTAAAGACCAAAGTGGCTCTGCACTGGAGCATTCATTGTAGTACATATCAACCTTACAGCCTCCAAATCACTCCAAAATGATATAGCTTTTGCAAGTATTATTAGTCCTCCCCACCCACACAAACAGTGGGAGCTTCCCAGCAGATCACAAACACAGAATAAGAATTGCTTACACTTCTATGGCACTTTTCTGACACTTAACTCAAAGCTCTTTACAGGTAATGGGGAATCCCACCCCCACCACCAATGTGCAGCCTCTACTGGATCAGAAAGACCTGGCTTTCTGAATTCAGTTTCACACTGAATCTCACTCTGCTGCAGCACAAGATCTGAGCGACGTCAGAATATCCTGAAAAGGCGCCAGAGGACACTACAGTGGAGCACATTTAAAAGGGATCCACTTCATCTAGTGCTGGAGAGCAACCCCACCACACACACACACACACACACACACACACACACACACACACACACACACACACACACCAGCTGTCCCCAAAACAAAGCACAGGAGATGTGTCCCAACACCAAGAGCTGCGGGTGTCTGGAACAAGCAACACAGCCACATTGCAGGAACCGATTTTTAAATCCCACGATCAAACACAAATCCTCCTTAAGTGTAAGATACGTATACAGTATGTACAAGATATGCACTTTGAGAAGCACTTCAAGAAGCCACCTTTAAAGGCACTATATAAAATAAAGTTTATTATTCATTATATGAGTCAGTCAGTATCATGACAATTGTAGAACACTTTTATCAAAAGCAGCTTAATAGCAATAAACTGTCAACCAAAAGTGGACAAGTGAAAGAAACTTAAAACAGATACAAACTTCATTGAGACATCCAGTAACAGAAATACAAACAGAAAAGAATAGCACTAGCAAATTATTTTGAAGAAGCTCTTGAACAGGACATACTACAGAACGAAATAATTCATGGCTTATTTAGTCTACTGCAAAGAACATTCTGGACAGTAAAGCCTTACAGAAATGGGGAAAAAAAAGATTTAAAAAAGTGAGCTAAAAACAAGATGCGTGTCACTAAATGGTCTATACATTACAGAGACAGGACTATATAGCATATTCTTTATTCAGAAGCTTTCATTTGAAAAACCCTGACTGTACTTTGTGTTATGTATTTTCGTCCGCGTTTTTAATTGTAAGATAATTAGACGCAAGACGGCAAATAAACACAGTCCAAGTTCTTAATATGGACATACCCCCCGGTTTTTAAATCGAACAGCTCGGTTGTTATAAACTCTTTTTGACAAGTGCCACTTTATAATCAAGGTATGGAAGAGCACCGAAACCCGTATGGCATGTGAAGTTAATTTTACTGAAACGGATGTCCCTGAGCTCAAGTAAAAAGTAAAAAAAAAAAGGAACAGCAAATTATTTTGTAACTTTCGGATGTCTCCGTTTTTCTTGGGTGAAGAAAAACGAGTTTTTTTTTCCCCCTCCAGTCTATCTGGAGGGCATGGTTGCGATCGTTGTCGACTCCCCTTTACCAGCGAACTCCTGTGCTCCGCCGCCATCTTGTGGCGGAATCGGAGAACTGCAACACACTCCCCGCGGATCAACAACCCCAGAAAACATGTCAACCGCAAATTTAAAACCGGACACACTTGTGCATTTAAATCCTACACGTATTCACGAGTAAAGCCTTCACAATTTCGCCGACTTTAAAAGCTTTACCTTAGCCAAAAGAGTGGAAAACATTAGCATAAAATCGCAGGCCTTATAAATGGAACCAGTTAGTTGCTTCAGAGTTCATTGTCATTTTGGGCGTTCGTACAATCTGACAATGCATAAAATGCTTATGACCTAACAAACATGTACAATTTAATAATCAGCGGTGAAAGTCGGGGGCTGTCAAATCAAGTAACTTCCTGTTGCTGTTGGAAATTAAATGCAACATTCGACTCACCTTCTGACAAAGCAGCAGAGCAGCCCTTCCTCTCGCCATGAGTGAATATGGCGTCAAGCTGATTCCGCCAGGGCTACGTGTTGCCCTTATTTAAAATGGCTGTCTAATTCAAAGCTGAATATTAGATTGTCGACCGGCGTTTCCAAAAGTCCATACACTGTTCAGCTAGTAAAGTTACCGGTGTAAACACAAACGTATATCTTATTAATTAAGGCAGAATTATTGTGTATATCACCATACCGTGTAAAATGAACAGTTGCTTAAAATTCCCTTCTCCAGATCTAAAGCAATAACACCTGGTAATTATTCTATTTCTTAATTTTGACTCGGGGTTCACATTAAATTAGTGTTAATGGTTTAACCCTTAGGACCTTTCTGCCTTTAATCCATGTCCATGCCAGTTTTGGGGGGTGCAGTGATGTAGCAGTCAGCTCTGCTTCTTGGATCTTTGGAGCCTGTGGTCTGTCTGCGAGGAGTCTGCACGTTCTCCCTTCCACATTAGGAGTTTTCAGTGGGCTCCGAGGAGCCACTCACCTTCCCAAGAACAGGAATCTCTAAATAAGGGCAGGATGGATGTTCTCTGGGGCAGCATAATAGCCCCATAGTGAGCATTGCTGCCTTGCAGTGTTGGGGCCCTGGGTTCAGCTTTGAGTCAAAATGAGTTGAGTTTGTATGTTCTCCCCATGTTTGTGTGGGTCTCCTCCCATCCAGGGTGTACCCTACCTTGAGCCAATTGCCTGCTGGGATAGACTCCAGCTCCCCCGCTGAACTGCATGATGGATGTAAACATTTTGACATATCTATTTGGTTTAAATCCTGATTTTCCCATGTTTCTCAATATTCAGTTTGAACTGTTATTGCACACCCATTGAAATCCAGAAATTGTAAATATTATACATACATAAACACCCAGTACTTATGACTAGAACTTGCTTCTTGGAACACAGTGTGTCCCTTCTTTTATTAATGATTTATATTTGTGCCTCCTAGTGAAAGCAATTAGAAAAAGCATTGAGGTAAATCAGATCGACGTAAAAATCCTCTACAGGGGCATATAAGGAAGACCAAGAGCACTATGGGTGTGCGTCTCATCCTTCAAAAGGACAGCACCCTTTTTATTTCGACAGTATAGTATCCCCGTCCCTATACTGGGGCATTAGAACGCACACAGACTGCAGGGTGAGCGCCCCCTGCTGGTCTCACTAGCACCACTTCCAGCAGCAGCCTTATCTTTCCCAAGAGTCTCCCATCCAGGTACTGGCCAGGCTCACACCCGCTGAGCTTCCGTGGGGCTGTCAGTGGCGAGTTACAGGTTGATATATAGCTCGTGGCTTTAAGAACTACCAGTTTATTTGATTGACACTGACTCCATCTGACTCCAGCTGCGTGTTTTGCTGGAGCAATTCAAGTGAAGTAACTTGCTCAAGGGTACCGCAACTGTGCCGCACCTGGGATTTGAACCTGCAACCTTCCCATTACAAGCTCAGATCCCGCCCGCTGTAGACAAATCCCCCAACCAGACTAACACTACCCCTAAAACCAGCAGACTCACCCTCCCAACCCCTTAATCCTTTCGCCATTTTATTCTAGACTAAAGATTAACAATACTAAAACACTTATATAACCAGTTGTCATGTTGTTCTGTGTGATCATACAGACAGAATGGCAGCTACATACATGTAATCTTATAGCCTGGCTGCATGTGTTAAAGCTCCAGTGCATGAAGGTTACACAGTTAGATCTGCATCCAGGTCTAATTTTTCTTCCCCCCTGCCTGTCCTCCAGCCTACACTCCAGCTCTGCCTGCCAAAAAAATCTTTGCAGTTTAATGGGATGACAGTACCACACACGAAAATATGTTTATTTTCCATATGTTTGTGGGCACCGGCCTCTCTGGGCATGTACAGTCCCAGTACTGCCAGATCACAGGTCCAGACTGGTCGGAACTGCAAACCAGCCACAGAAACGCAGTCCGCTTTGAAGTATATGAGAGCAGCAATAAGTATTTTCACAACCCCACAAGCTTTATTGGATACAACGCCCGTCAAGGAAAGCCACTTGATTCGGACAGCACTGGGGTACATACTCTGAATTCAATGCTACATGATATATTCCTAAAGATCATAGATTCCCATCACAGGTCACACACAGCAGAAAACACACCAGCAAGCGGCGATGACAGTTTCGTACTGCCCTGCACACCCAGGGCAGTATTCTCCAGCCGTCTGCAGAGGAATCAGAGCAGCTCCAGTCTGTTCCCCTGAGAGGTTAAGGCAGGCACGGAGAGAGGGAGGGGGTGTCTCCCCCCCACCCCACCGGAGAGACTCTGGATGAGGGAGGGTTTCCAGGGTCGCCGCTCACATTCCCAGGCTCTGAGGATCCACCTGGCAGCCCAGCAGGGTGGCTCCAGCCTGAACGCACTGAGCCACGTCGAGTCCTGAAACACAGAGCACACAGGCACTGCTACAGCAGCAAGATAGAGGCAGCGGTACAGGGGGCCGCCTATCGGCTGGAGGAACACCACCGAGAGCCAAGAATAATGCTTAACTCGGAAATAAGAGGAGCTAAACACCGTTTTCAGGTGGATGGGATTTAAGAAGACTCATACTAATATTCTTTTCGGGCTATACAATACACGCTTGAGGAAAAACACGGCTTACACTTAAAACTAGGAACCGAAGGCCCAGAAGTCCCCAAAATAAGCAGGAATATACTATATGAGGCACTTTTCATAGCCAAGCTGAACTGAAGCTTTCCGAAGCACAAAGTTTCGAAAATAAAACTTAGACAAAAGCATCGGCAAGCAGGTGATGAAATTGGCACAGAAGAGATGGACGCATCACGCCCGGACTATAAGACTACAGCAGGGAGTGCGAGAGAAGGGGCATCCTTGTCAACCAGCTCAGGGCGGCTGACGTCTCCTCATGACGGTTTCCCGGAGGGCTGGGCCAGGCTCTCCACCAGTGCTCGGGGCGGGAGGACCAGCTGTCCGGGAACGGCGTTCGTTCCACTACCTGGCTGGGCTTTGATCCAGGACACGGCTTTCAGGGCCACGAACTGCCACTCATCCCTGGAGTCCAGTTTGAAGCCGTGCAGCCAGAGCAGAGCCAGCAGAGTGGCCCACGCGGTCTTGTCCAGGCCCTGGAGAGGAAGCGCACAGAAGCAGGGTCATGACCGAGCTGCAGCAGGACAGGACACAGGCAGGACCGGCCTTGACTCAGCATGATCACCTGTCATCTTGGAACTAGGGACACACTGACTCACTAACAGGGTTCAAAAAGGCGGTTATAAATGGGTCCATCTAAGCCATTGGGTGGCTAGCAATTACAGTGATCTCTGCTATTCCAAGCGTTTCCAAAACGCGAATTGGCTCATATGCGACTTGTAAATAGGGGAGGTCTGTTTCACACGAAACTGGCTTATACGCGATTTCATCCCCGACATGTTGACGTTTTTGCGTCGCGGAGTAGCACAGCTGAAGGTGGCAGTCCGCGCCGGAATTCACAAGATGCTCCGCTGGCCCACGTGCTGCGTTTTGGAAGGGCTAATTAGGGGCGGGGGGCGGCTCCTCAATTTAACGTGTATTTAAACATTTAACGTTACATTTAACGTGTATTTAAACGGTGCCACCATTTTTAATGAGGATCATCATTCCATTTGGAAAAGCTTCGGATAGGCTCTGAGTGGTCTGCCCACAGGCCTATTTTCCCCCCCCATAAGCCTCGTTATTTTTATTGAGCGATTCTGCACAACGCGAGGTTTCACAGGAATGCGTCTATCGCGTTACAGCAGAGACGCCTGCACTTGAGTTAAGGCTCCGGCTTGAACGAAGCCTGGGGTATCGGCTTGCCCCCGCAACCCCTTGAGAAAAGACGTGGCTCGTGGTCCTGGTTTGAAATGCACTCAGTTTCCAGCCTCCTCCTCTGGTTCTGCTCTTTCGAAGACCGCTGGGCAGACTGCGTCAATGTCTTTGAGAGCTTTGAATACTTGTATTGGGTTCCCTCGTAGTCTTCTGTAGTCACTGGTACCGAGGACCTGGGACTGGTTCTGACCAGAGATGGGCATGGCGGTACCATACACCCCAGGAAAAGATACCCATACACCCCAAGATAAGTCAGCACTGCTTGCTGCTGTGGTTAATGGAGATTAGGACCCCAATATTGCAGCCAGTGAGCCTGACACACATTACAGAAATAAAATGACTGGCCACCTCTCCGGGCATTTTGCTGGCCACCTCCTGCTCCGTCTTCCCCAAAACCGCCAGCAGAGCCTCGTCCAGATCCCAGGAGCCGTTCGCCTTCTGCAGGGAGATGAGCTTCAGCAGGGGGTCCTCCTCCGGCTCGGGGGCTGAGGAGAGACGAGCAACAAGCGTGCGAGACCTGGAGAGCCCAAGAGACCCTCTCTACACCCCCCCCCCCCCCCCCCCCCCCCCCCCCCCCCATCACATTTCACTTCCGGCACAACTGGGCCTTTCCCCAGACTGACCCAGGGTTTATGGGATAGAACTGTGACACTTGTTTAAAGATGCAGGACGTGACTACTTGACGAAAACAAAAACAAACTGCTCTCCGATACAGATGCTGAGTACCTTTATTCCGGGTGATTCACTGGGTATCTGTTACGGCTGATCAGACACAGTAACCCGCACAGTGACTTCGTAGAAGACGCTTTGTGAATAGAGTCCACTGGCGTTTTGTTTAATAGCTCAGTCTGGGTAACGGTTTCAGCCTAATATTCTCCAGTGCCCACCCTGCAAGCACAAAATATAATCGCCCTTCGGTACACTCAGTAGTGTGCGAGATAAAGAGCAAGCTGGTTTTAATGCTTCTCTTTATTCGACATTTTAATGAACAAGATGAGTATCTCCCTGGTCCTGGAGAATCTCCACAGCCTCAATGCTCGGTAATTTATTCCAGTCACTTCTGTAAAACAATTGGTCCTTGAGGGTTGAAGGATATTCTGATTTCCAAGTGATCTCTAAATGATCATGGCGAAATTGGTCCTGGCCTTTAGAAATGTAGGATTTAAAACCTGCTTGACTGGCACTCTAAAGTTTGAAATTTAGATCTCAAAAATGCCAAGCCGCGGTTGAGTAAAATGCCAGAATCGCCACCCCTCCCCCCAAAAAATAATTTTAAATATCTTTGGAAGAAAGCAAGGGCAACATTTAATTTAATTAGCGGTGTATTTATTTGCTTCTACATTTTAAAATATAAATGAGCGTTAATTAAGCAGTCAGATGCGTTCCAAGTCCATATCTCTTTTCTTCTGTGGCCGTTTACTTCCTGCACAAACTCCTCCTCACCTTTAATTCTGCTCCTGACATTAACCGAGAGAGAATCTAGATCACATAACCGCAGACGCCTTCAGCTGCCACAGTAAGGCGTTCAAGGTGCCACTACGCAAGATGGTTGCACTTTCTATCGCCTCACTAACCTGATCCAGAACATGGGCAAGATCTTACAGGGAAATATCTGAAATGCAGAGATAATCCAACACATTTTCAACTGCGACCACACACTCCCACTTGTGGTGTAGATGGAGAATTTACCTGTTTGGATGTCACAATCCTCCGATTCTGCATGAATGGAAGGAGCCAATATGCCGTCGCACTGCATTGAATTATCTTTGAACAGAGCAGACACAAATGCACTTATTATATAGCCATTTCTTCCGGCAGGACTAGTCTGGAAAACCCCACAGTGCTGACCAGACTAGAGGTAAACCGACAGGCCCTTCAGGGATTTTAACACCAGCTGAACGGACCCCCAGAGCCAACGGGGTGAGAGTTAACTTCAGGTATACTATACTGTTTGACCTGATATACTATACTAACTCAGATACCCGACAACACAGCCTGTGGTTAAGTCACTCCATGCTACTGTGCTGAGATCAGTACTGTTTTAAAGAAAAACCATCGAAGGCACACACCGCATGGCTTCAGTTAAAAAGTCACAAAGAAAAAGAAGGAGAAAAGAGTGTGTAAACTGCAATGAGGAACACAGGTTATTATGGTCTGCTATGCTGCTTTGTTTTCTCTTTGGATGCACGCGGATTAAGAGACAGTAACGCCTGTGAACGGATTTAGTTCTTTTTCTTTTCGGAAAGGTCTGGTTTTAGGTGATGCAGGAGACAGCAGGCAGGTTGTCACAGGCCTAGTTAAGATCCTGCATCATATACTGAGCTTCAAAAGAAACATCACTGCATGCTTTTGGTAAAATAAAGCATGCCTATGATGGCTATTGATTAATCTCTCAAATGAGATGAGACATGAGAGATACACAGACATGTTCCATTCAATCACCTCACTAATACCAGGTGTTGAGATCTGTCTTGTGCAACATCGCGGGAGAAGGTAAAGGGAGAAACGAAGAATAAAAACTCACCAAATATTTTCGGCATTGGCATGGCTGCAGCTGAAATACCCCATGTAAAAAAAAAGAAAAAGTGTTTAAAACTTAAACGAAGGACACTGGCTTTTGCACGGGAAAAAAAAAAAGATGCTATATTATTTTCGATTGAAAGCCCACGTGTTAAGAGACAGTAACTCCCGTGAAAATCACCGCCCTTCCTGCAAGTGCCAATGACTCATCTCCCCGGGAGCATCCCAAGACCCATGAGAAGGAGTGTCAGGAGGTAACAACGGACATTTGAGAGAGGGCCGGGCGATTTTCAGAAGGAGACGGATCAAGGCAGGGCAGTAAAACGGGGTAAATAAACCTTCCTGCTGGCTGCACCGAACCTCGCGAGCCAGCATGGTGCTCCCCGACTGCCGGCACCTTTCGATTGGTCTCCCTGCCCGTGCAACTAGCTGGCTTTGTGCAGCTCACACACACAATCGGGAACACAAGCAGTGAAGATTGTTAAAAGAAGTGCACAGTACCGCACATGCGAGTTGGACGGGCTCCAGCCAGACAGAAGGCCATCGGCATACACCGGTCTGCAAAACAACAAGAGGAAGATGTTTACAGCAGCAACCAAGTTACGCCAATACAGAAGTTCATCTCAGGATCGATCCTGGAGAGCAGGTTTGACTCCACAGGACCTGGATGGCACCCGGCTGGCTGACCGCCTCCGTGTCCGGATGGAAAAGACATTCAACCACATCCCCACCCTACACTCAAGTCTGCCCCCGGTGCCCAGAACCGGACGGAGATGGAGCACATTCTCCCGAGCCAAAGAATTCCTGGATACCGCTGTCAACAGTTGTGGCCGAGTTACTTAAACATGGATTCAATTTTTGTTTTAAAAGACAGCAATAAGAATGCACCATTGTTTTGCCTTTCCTGCTATTTTTATTCCCCAGTGTTCAGATCCTCTGATGTTCATCAGTGAGTTCCACTGTCGCACTGTCATTCCAGTTGCAATAAATCAGAGACGATACTGGGGAGGAGGCTGACAGAGACTGAGGTGGCTGAGCAGGCGCAGTCGTTTGCACTGCTGCGGCCCTGGGTTCAATTCCTGAGGTTCTATCTATGTGGAGTCTGCATGTTCTTCCCAGGCTCGTATGGTGCTCCTCCCACAGTCCAAACACAAACTGGAGTGAGTGTGTGTGGCTGTGTTTGCGTCTGTGCGAGACCTGTGATGGACTGACATCCCATCAAGGGTGTAGCCCTGCCTTGAGCCCATTTCTTGCTGGGATAGACTCCGGCTGCCCCGTGACCCTGAACTGGATAAAGCAGAAAGAAAACAGATGGATGGCTCATAGAGTCAAAATTCTGAATAGGCCTTTTGTGTGTCAAGTGCTTACACACTTCCTGCACACCCTGGGAACAACAGTGCATGTCAACAGGGCTTTGACGTTTGCTGGGGTGAGAGCTAATGTAGATATTTGTTCTGGTGTGCACCAAGCTCCACCGTCCACTAAGGTTGCTACCTTGTGTGAAAGTTAAGTACACACTCGCAAAGTGACACAGTCACAAACTAAACCGACTAGTAGAGACTAAATTCACCATACTAACATGTACCCGTAACCACGCGAGGATTGCTTTCACGGGAGATCCATGGGACGCAGAAAACAACACTTGGCACAGCACAGTACGCGGTTACACACTGTATGGACACAGCCACAGTGACGCCATTAACAGTGCCCAGCGGCCTACACCAGGGACACCCGCAGAGGGCAGCCTTATTTATGGTACCGATACACATTGGGCATGGACACCCGGAGACAAGGGCAACGCTAAGAGCGGCTGTAGACTCTCTAGATCTCGCTCAGCCCCCCAGCCCAGCCCTACTCACACTGGAAACGAGGGATGTTCCTGCGCAGAACAGGACCCTGGACGGGCTGCTTGTTCTCCTTGTTCACGCCAATGAAGGCGGTGTGAGAGCACACCACTCCGGACTGAGTGCTCAGCTCCGTCGCCCTCTTCCTCACCGCCTTCTTCTCCTCCTCGCCCTCCTGCTCCCGCTCCTCCCTCTCCAGGGAGCGGAGGAGCGAGCGTGCCCCGAGCCTGTGGATCGTCAGCCTGCGAGAAAAGAAGAGCGACTCGCACAAGCTCTCCCCTCCACTCCTTCACTGCTGGCGCAGCCAGGTGTCCCAGAAAAATACCCCCCCCCACTTACTATGAAGGAAGCAGCTCGATCCCTGTCCACTACAACCACTAGGTGGCGCCACACACCTGGACATGCGAGTCCGAGCCCTGGCATAACTGCCAGTGTCTGTACCAATCAGCCTTGATAAAGAGACGAGCACGAAGCAGCACAAGGCAGCCTGGCCTTGGGCCTGACCCGGACGATCCTGCAGAAGCTTAATATTTATAACCACAAGTGGTGTGAGGAATCTGAAATGATCAACTCTGTTGTAGCAGGGACCCTGCATCACCTCCGTCTGCCTGTTTTTTTCCTGTACTACAGTGCTTTGAGTTGACCCACGTCTCTGCAGGTGCTATAGGTTCGAGTCTCCCACCTGGTCTTCTGGCAGCTCAGTATCTCTGAATATGTTTTATCAAATGTCCTGTTAGGAACTGTTCTTCTGCTGTTAAGCCAAAGAAATACTATTTTACACTCATGAATGCAAATGGATGAAAAATTAACATTTAAGTCACTGTTAACCAGGGACTCAGCGTGGCTATTGACTCCCAGACACAAAATTCCTCCATATGCAAATACAATGAAACGTTGAACTACAACATAACTGTACAGTCAGTAAATTAATGAGGTATGACAGTAAATATATCATGCTGCTTAACTTAATGCAGTGTAAGGACGACAGATATAACTGTATCTTACCCATTCTCCTTGTCAGGCTTCAGGCTGAAGCTCAGTTTGCTCTTGTAGGGCTCGTCTCCCAGCTTGTACTCCAGCAGCACTGAGCCTTCTGCGCTGTGATCACACTGAGAGAAAGAGAGAGAGAAATGAATACCCAAAGCCAACTGCATTAATGGCTCTCAGAGAGGCAGACACAGGATTAATACAGATGCTGGCCATTGAACATCACAGAGACGTGAAAGGGGAGAGAAAGAAAAAAGGGGGATTTCATTCAGATATACATGGATTCCACTGTATTGCTGTAGAAGTGACAGACTGACAGGGATGGAGGAATCGGCACTGCTGTAGAAACAGATGATCTACAGAGACCAGTGCTGTAGAAACAGATGATCTATAGAGACCAGTGCTGTAGTAACAGATGATCTACAGAGACCAGGTCTTACTGCACGCAGAGAGGTGGGAAGAGAGAATGACTGGACAGAAAGGCTCATCATAACCGCAGGGAAACACAGCAAGAGAGGCACAAAACGGACATGCTGACTGTCTGTAGACTCAGGAAAACCCGAATGAGCCGAAGTTCAATTTCCTTTCGGCAGTCCTGACCTGTCCTTTAAGCTGGGCGTACAGCAGTGCTCTCTGCCCCTGGAACAACGCTTTCAGGGGAGGTGACAAGGAAGACACCTCCAGCCCAGACGGGACGTCCCAGCGCACAGAAATCTCCCGGACTGCAGGCTGAAGAGCGAACCGCAGAGACTGCATCACCTGAGAGGAGGAGAAGGACATCGCCAGACTGAGACACGTTCTTTTTCACCTGATGTCAAGAGACTAGAACACACATTTTACAACACTGGGGCTGGATTGTTGTAGTGCAGACTTCTCAGGTACCACTAGTCACTATAATTCAAACCTACAACTTATATAAAAAGCAGGCGGTAATCTTAAAACCAGAAAGTGAATTGTGGATATTTCATCCCTGTTCTGGCAGGTTGAAACTTCCATTCAGACCTGATTTTAAAGTCTTGCTCACATGTGAAGCTCTACAACAGTGGTTATATCACTCAGCCCTGTTCCTAGGGAACAGCGCATCTCCTTCAAATGATCAATTAGTAACTACTGATGGACAATGCAAGTTACACGATCAAGGAGTACAATGACATTCTCTGAGGCATGTTGCCAAATGCAGAACATTTGCCTGTAACACAAAGAAATTTGAGGGATTATGAGGTTTGGAAATAGGACTCTGATTAGGATTCGAGGCAAGAATCTGATTGTTCTATTACAGTGAATGAAGAGTCAATGAAACTAATAAAAAATGCCAATGAGAAAACTGACAGCATAACCTGATTACTTAAGAAGCAAGTTACTTCTCTCAGTTAAGCATTGGAGGTCTCTTAAAGCAAAGCAAAACTACTTTGCTGACACATTATACAGTACACATCTTCCCGATGAAAATTTTATTAAAATGTAATAAAACGGATGTGTGATTAAGTGTCAAAAGCCAGGCTGGGTAACTTATTGCAATCACATGACTAATTGACGTACCACAATATGATGGCTAAGAAGTTAACTATGTTTAGTTAGTGGTTTTAGATAAGGCTATTTTGACCTTTTGGACCTCAAGGTTAGACAATAGTCAAGTGGAGCTCACTAACTCATGACCAATATCTGACCGGCGCCCGGCTGGGCTCCGCTCTCTGACCGGCGCCTGACCTTGGGCTGCAGGCGCTCGGTTCCGGTGATGAACTGGAAGTGACCGGACCCTTCCGTGGCCATTCCTCTGATCAGGGCACTGGAGGCTCCCTCTCCAATCCCAAAGGTGAAGCACCTGGACACAACACAGTCAGGCTGCACAGCGATATATGACCAAAACACACAGAGAAACACTGCACACCAGGCTACAGTCTGCTACAGGGTCAGCGTCCAGCCCAGAGGATCACAGGGGACACAGACCGGAAGAGACTACAGGGCCACATTCGTACAGCATTTCCCCAATGACGGCTTTTATTCCACTTAATTTAAAAAGCAAAACCAAATGTGACGTCTTGTTGATACGGAGGTGTCTCCGGGGAATTTCACAGATTTCAGATTTAACTGTGTGGTTTCCTTACCAGGAATGAACACGCTTAAAGCCGATGGGGTGAGAAATGTCAGAACTGAGAAGGGTGCACGTGACCCTGTGCGTCTGCAGAGATCAGAAACCAAGAGCAACAGCAAAGAGAGGGAAACGGACGTGGACAGAGTGATAATGGGGGAAAAACTTCCGACAGTACAGTTACTTATAAGATAGAACCGATGACCGTGTACTGTACCTACATGTACGCATCTGTACACAGGCAAACGACACAAGGGCAGGAGACTCAGTGACAGTACAGCCAGATCCTACCTGTGTGAGAGACTATTAGTCTTCACAAGGTCTGTCACTTGTTTGGTGTTCCCTACTTCTCCATCCGTGAACACAAAGAGCTGGAAAACAGCGAGAGAGAGAGAACGAGAAGCATTGAACTCGTATTTATACTTCTCCCTCCTGTTTTTCATAGTAACGTTCATCCCAAAAGATCCCCAAGCCCTTCAAACATAGAAGGGGGCTCATCTACCACTGAAGGGCAGCCCCCCTCACCCGGCAGGGGAGGTGGACACGGCAGAGACCACTGACAGCAGCAGCCTGCTTCTCCCCTGAAGGTCTCTGCTCCCAGAGCTGACCGGGCCCAGCCTGGCCTGGCTTCTGAGATCTGAACAGGTCAGGCTACAGGGAGGCAACTTAGCTCAGCTTCTCAGGGTATTTCCATTGCTGTTGAACGAGTGCCCATTTTCTCCTCCTCTCCAGTCGAAAACTGGCCCGGGTGCAGTGGGAATGAGAGCGTGCGCTCTTTCAGCCCAGAGCTTGGCCCCTGCGGAGCTCTCTGGGTCCCAGGCAGCCACGCAGGTCGGGCCTGCTGGGTAACCCACACCCTGCCTGGTCAGAAGGAAAGCCATGAGACTCCCACCTCACGGCACTCGGTGGGTTCACACTAGGCAAGCTACTGGTTAGGACTAACGAAGACTGGAATGCGGAGGGCGAGAGTCTCCACCCAGCCCCGTACCTGGCGAGGGTGGGCAGGCAGGCAGGGCTTGTTGTAGATCTCGGTCAGAGGCTGAAGAATCTCCGTCCCTCCGAGATCAGCCTCCATCGTCTTCACCTTCGCCAAGGCCTTGTCCATGGTGTCCTGGCTGTACTCCACACTCTCCCTGCCGCGGAGAGAGAGGGGCCGTCAGGCTGAGGGCACAGCCAACCAAGGACAGAGGGAAAACAGGCGAGACACCGCTCAACAGTACTGAACGCAGCGGGCAGGAAGAACACTGCCTTGTGGGCCTCCATTGCAGACAAGGAAAGAATTCGAGACACGTCTTCCAACTCTGGACTTCATGCATCATGGAACAGCAACACAGTAGTTTCTAGAGGTCTTAACGACAGCGTATTACTGAAATCCTCCGTGAGACTGAGCATTCTGGTCAGGTTTCCTGGAGCCGGCCGACAGCTGCTGCTGTCAGTCCTGAACCTCTCAGGCGTGCGTCTGGATCGATTGCTCATTCTTGGCAAAACTCTCGGAGACCTGCGATGCAGTGAAGGAACACTCTTGCCATGTCTGATCACTTACGGGAAGAAGGACTCGTGAGTTGACCCAAAGCCATAAATATTGAAGTAACAGCCCAGGGGGAGGCTCTTCAGCAGGAGCAGCAGAGTATCCTAAAGACAGAGAGAGTGAAGGCTTGACAGAGGACACTGCAGAGCACAAAGTCCAGTGACAGAGGACATCGGACACTGGATCCCTTATCCCACTGGAGCCCAGTTCTGGACCTAAAGCCACTGGCCAGCAAGGTCTCTTCAAACCTCCAGCTTCTTAAAAGCAAGGGAAACTCTCAACTAGGTTCTACAGCAATTCCCTAAATATTGATGCTATAAAATCTAGGTGCAATACCTTTCCACTGGTCAATTTCCAGAGTATAAAGCCGTAGAAATTGCTCAAATGCATTTGCTAACAGGACAAGTAACACATTGACGAAGCCCGATCACCCAACAGGTGGCAATTAGGCAGGGTTTTGGTAATAACTCAGGAATGAAGAGGCATGTGAAATTTTCAAAACGGCAAAACTTCCATGGCCAAGAAAAGGTTGGAGAATCGTATAAAGACAGCCAATTTCCCCATTTATTTTTAACACAATGCCAAAACCGCAGTGGGGGCAAAATAGTCATTTCTTTAAAAACACAAGGTGTTGCTGACATGCGTCAACACCACACATCCCTAGTTATGTAGGTTTTCCAAATCTAAAATTTTGAACTTTTCAAGTACGTGTTAAATCTGGGTCTCTGTCAGCAACACATGTGCTTTTGTGTCCGCGATGGCGTGCACTGGTGTGGAAGTGACCGGGCACTGCCCCCCAGGCAGAGCGGATCCCGGTGTCCGTCAGGGTTCGAATGGCTCTGCGTGTGTGACAGCACGCCGGCCGCCGGCCGTACCCTGGCACTCTCGATGCGCTGCTGTCCTCCGCCCTGGCTGCTCATCTCGCAGCCCATGCTGCCCGAGCGGTCCACCAGGAAAATGAACTCGCCAAAGGAAGACAGGGCCGAGGACACCGCCCCGGGGAACTCGGGGTACAAGCTGAGCATCACCGCCGCGTCTCCCATCAACGAGCCTGCAGGAGAGGATGACGTTAACGCACCGGGCCTGACGCCGGACGGCGGTAACGCTCTGGTCCCGAGACAGAGGAGAGCGAGCTCAAACAGGCCTCAACGAGCCTCTTCACAGCAGTTTCAGAGTCCTGGCAGAAGTGTTACCACCTCGTAGGCATGCTAGGTCAGTACCGGGCTAACCAGGTTGTGCCTGCAACTGGTGCAGTGGACCAGTAGGAGGCGCTCTCCGCTACAGGCCAGACTCACCAAACCAACGCTCCAGTGTGCTGATCTGTGCTACGAGAGGCATCAGCTTTCTGGTGAGTTATTCAACTAAAGACTTTCAAAGGATCCCACCCAGCAACTTCCCCGATTCAGTTAAGGATTATTGTTGGCAAAGAGCTCAGCTGCAGACATTATGGATTTCAGGGTGAAAGATGGTGGATGGGTCTATCCTCTCATATTACCTACAAATGGAACAAAGGCAAACAAAAATGAGATCCCAGTGCACTTACAGTAGGAGAGTAAATTTGCAAAGAAGTAGACCTCAGGGAATGTTCTCTATGCGGTATTGAAAGCAGATACGTTGCTAATGAATGTGCTGTAAATATGGGTGGGAATGTTACTTCTAGAACAGTGAGATACGCCTCAGCACAAACTAACACAGGTACCGACCAGACATCTCTCCAAACTGTACTGTGCTCGCGCACGCTCTAACAGATACTAGGCAGGATTGCAAATGAGCCTAAGAGAAGAGCAGAAAAATCATTTAAAAGTTCACAGATGGTCCCTCAGTCCATGTGGCCAAACACTGCGCCCAACAAAAGTAAACAGGGGGGAAAAAAAAAACACAAGAAACTAGAAGTGTAAAATTAATAAAAGCAGGCTAACAGCCGGCTTGTGCAACGTCACCCTGAACACGTTATAAAGAGAGTTCAAAACATTCTGAGTATTAAAGCACTCAGAAAGCAAGGATTTGTCATACAACACTCAGGGCAGTTTAGATATCAGAGTACCGAAGATTTCAGACAGTTTTAGAACACATCCACAGTATCCAGCCACTCTAAGCCTTCCTACATGATTTTCTACCTGAAAATTAAATCACTCAGAATTCAATAAGGTGTCTATGGTGGTGATTTTTTAAAAACATCACTCATCCGTCTTGCAGAAGAGCGCTCTTGGATCTTCAGGAGTACCTGCAAGAGTCACCACCCACGCACAAGTCTTTCAACAGTCCAGCCCGCAGGAGGAATGCGTGCACCTGGAGCACAGCCACACCCACGAGCCAGAATAACCACCCAGCAGCTCCCCTCGGACTCGGACAGAGCACAAGGACTGAGGCAGCCGTGTGGAAATGGCTTCGACGTTGAAGTCGCTCGTAGATAAATGTCACGGACACCAGACACCAAATTCCAGGAGCAGCCCATTTGGAAAAACCTCTCTCAACTGGACTCGGTGGGATCCTTTAAGAAATGGCTTGATGACCACTGGCGAAGCGTGTGGCACCTCGAAATTTTCCAGACGAGCTGAACCCCCCCCCCCATTTCCATTTGTCATGGGGAAAGTCCAAAAGAACCTCTTACCTACCATGTTGCCGTTTGCACAGCGATCAGTATCGGAAGAAGAGAAAGAAAATCGGTTTCCTCCCACACTAGAGAGAGACGCTGGTAAGTTAATTGGCCTCTGGTAAAATTGGCC